GCGATGGAAGAAATCAAATCGATACAATTATTAAGACGAGCGGGTAGTAAAGGCCCCGGCGCCATGTAAACCAACGCTATGTGCAAATCCTGCTCTAAGCCTATTGTTTGCCCGTCCACTGTGACCCATACGCACTCCACGTGATCACGCTGCCACTCGACGCGTACGCGCGCGCTCAGTCTTCGACTGCACATTACCATAACACCACCGCCGTTCGACCCGCGGTCGCGTCGAAAAATTTCATATCTGCTGTCAGATAATTCCGAGTCTAGAATACTGTCATTTAGCCAGGTTTCTGTTACTAAAATTATATCGTGGTTCGAGATAAGTATATTATTATAGAATTCTAATGTTTTTGTTCGAAGACCACGAACATTCTGGTATAGGATATTTAATTTACCCATTAAGTTCCAAACAAATTCATGTACAGACCGATTATCTCATCTTTTATGTTTAAATTATGCAAGAAAATGACAGTATTCAAGTATTCTAAGTATAATGAAACTTTCAATTTGCAGTAATAGTGTAATAAAAATAATAAATATCGTGATTGATTGGCAGTGAAGGTGTTATTGTATTTGTATGGTATAGATGAATTTGTGGATGTATTGTGTAAGTGTGGTAAGTATAAAGAGTTATCATGCACTAAAATTGATGTATAACTAAAATATAAAGACAGGCACTGACTATTAAAGCTAATTAACGAGGCAAAATACATAACTAAATAATTTTCTTTAAATCTGCTTCGCATGATATTTGAATGTATGGTGATTTTTCTGCCTTTCTCGTATAAATGCGACAGTTTTTTGTCCATACATATGTGTAATTGCAGTCTTTGGCCTTAGATTTACACTTATTCAATAAAAGCTTGTTTGTTATGGTCAAATGTTCATTTACATAAACAGCTGTTGGCTCACCATCCAGTCCAATATCCTCCGAAGTGATACCACCGGTTTTTCGAGCCGCAGATAAAAAGGCATCTTTTTTGCTGCGATTTTGAAAGCGAACAACTATATTTCGTGACTTTCCCTTCACTGGTCTCTTCGCCTGTACGCGGTGTACGAAATCCAAATCCTGGAACTCAAGTGGCACCTTCAGATGTTTGGCCATGATTATCATCATATCCGGCAGGTTTTCATTGTCCGCTTCTGGTATGCCTATTATTTCTAAGTTCTGAAGCCTAGACCACTGTTCTTGCTTGAGAGACGCCTCCTCCATGCTATTTATTTTGCGTTGTAGGATTTTAAGTTGATTGTCAAGGTTAGTGTTCTCAGTCTGAATTTTTTTCAGGATAGCTGAGTTATTCTCCACCTTGACTTTCACAGAATCATACAAATCACTGCATGTCTTAACTGACTTTTCAAGCTCTAAAAACCGGATCTCCAACGCATTTGCAACTGATTCCTTAAGCTTTGTGATAAAATTTGGCAGCTCGCGCTTAAATGCAGTTTCAATTTCCGCTTTTATGATACCAATGATATCATCTGGCTTTTCCTCATCGTGACAACTACTGCTGTTGCTATTTGCAGATGTTTGTGCCCCTCTTTTAGAGTTGATAAATTCGTCACTTCCTGAAAAGGTTTCCTTTACTGGTGTGTTAGTGTTATCACCGCGACGAATTTGTTTTACCTTGCATTCCGGACAAATCCAGTTTGTAGTTGAGTCACCCTTTTTAACACCGACACATGCTTGATGATATTGAAGTTTGCAAGTCGTTCTGGAGCAGTTAAGGATAGCATCTTTTGGTTTTACGTCACGATCGCAGGCACTGCACTTGGTCATTGTTAAGTTATTTTTGGTAATAAGTTGCAGATAAGAAAAAATATTAACTTAATGAGTACTTTGTGACCAAAACTTGGATTTTTATTGTAATTTAAAAAACTTTACCGAAACAATACTAGATAATAAATTTAAAACTAATTTATGTTGGAGCTAATGTTTGCCGTTCGACTACCCTCGTCGGTCTAGCACATATATACATATATGATATAGAATATGAGATAGAATACATATACAGTACATAATAATATAAATATTATTATGTACTGTATATGTATTCTATCCGTTAACCTAATATCCCATAACACAATACTTACAGTGCTTACTTTGGGGCTAGGCTAATAAGTGTGAGTGTTGGAAATATTTATTTTATTTATTTATTCTTTATTTTCGATAAACGAAGAAATGGGGAGCCGTCCATTTTTTCTTTTTTAGACCATTTTTATGACGGGATCATCTATCTCATAATCGAAACTAGTTAAGAATATATAAAATTTTGGTTTAAGATGTGCCATATGTTCACGTGTTCCCTCCCTCTTACAACCTGGGATCCTTTAAAAGAGGCGTGAAGAAGCAACATGCAGGCCGGCAGGGTGAGGATAGCGGGTGTGGCAGGTAGAACTGCTGTATCAGTTATCTTCGCGTCTGGACTTCACCTTCACTTAACGTCAGGCGGGGTGGAGTCATTTGTTGGACCTATCTTTAAAATAAAATGCTGTATTTACATAACAAATACTGAAAACGCCGATTCCTCAGATTACAGATTCTACAATCGGTGGCCGATTCATAATGTACTTTGTAAGCAGGGAACAATTCGTGCGCGATTCTACTCGTATGTGCACGGTTTTATTATGTTGTGAAAGGTACATAGATTACTTTGATTATTTGATTTAATCTACGGTAAGATGCGATCCGAGCAAACACAGCGGTTGACAACTGCAAGACAAGAAACAATTGGTTGAAAACAAACACATCTTACTTATATCCAGCGCTAGTTTTAACCGACGACTGAGCAGGATCGTATTACAGCGTCTTTTAGAGCTTTTTCACTTCCAAGTAAAATTTATTTTACGTAGCTTTTGTGCGTCGTTTGCCATCTGATACTAAGTCGTTATACCCCAGAAACGGCGCGGTTTATAATATAAGCATATTTTAAATGCGAAAATACTGATTTGATGGATTTTTATATGGAGATTAAGGGGACCTTAAAGAACGATAAAGGCTTTTTTGGACGGGTAATTTCAATGGAGTTAAAAAGAGAAATACTTTGCAATGAGAAAGTAGCGAATATCCCGCATGTCTTCTTTAAAAGTGAAGATAATCATTTTCAATTGTTGCTTTTACTCAACGACCTTCTAATGTTTTTCCCGTCTAATGGTTTAATTAAATTTGTTCGCTAACTAGTATTCGCGTACCTGAAGCAATATTTACACTGAATTACGGACTGGAAGACGGTGTCGAGAAAACAAAGCGAACTCTACCCGAATACGTGAGTACTAGACTCCGTTCATTTACACTTAATCGCTTACCCGAATTCCATTGGCACTCGTATTCGGGCTAACGAACAAGTGTAATACCGCCATAAGACAAAGACGATGGGTTTATGACTTCAGCACACTGTATTTTCCACCGTGCTTGTGGAACTATTGAATTGATTTTAATGAACAAGTTGTCAATCAATTCTTAATTAACGGCCGAATGACTTAAGCTTTTTTAAACAAATAAATCAATACTAGCAAACCAGTGAACCAAATGTTCACCAAAATCTGATTTAAAAAAAAATGTATTTAATTAATTGAGAACTTCGGAGATTTTGTGTGGTTTAAACCGGAAGTGCTACGTTACTCAAATCCGGTTTGTTGTCTTATCAGACTATTCTTAACTTATAACTTAAATATTCTCTTTATCTATCTCTTACGGTTTGGCCGCTGAAACAGCACCACAGACAGACGGACGGACGGACTTGTCCAATAGATAAGAGATGGAGGGTGTGACATAAAAATAGTGCGCGTCTTATTTTCTTCTGTGGGATATTGAATTTCTGTGTCGAGTTTTAGTTCTCTTGTTTCAAAGATGAGTGATTTTGCATTTATTATTTCTGACATTACAATTTAGTAGTGCGATGCGTGTATAAGTACCTAGCTTTATGAATACAAATGGCATTGCTGTTCCTCAGATACGAGATACAGATATAGTTAATCTCCATTTTCTTATCTACATAAGGCTAAGCTTGAAATTTATCAAACATTCTACTTATTATAATAAATGTGAAAGTTTGTACGTTTCCATTTTTGACGACCTCCGTGGCCGAGTGGTTTGTACGACGCGTTTCATGGCGTCGCCGACTCGAGAGGTCCCGGGTTTGAATCCCGGTGGGGGCAGATGTTTGTGTGATGAACACTAGCATTTGTACTGCAGTCATGGATGTTTATTCTAACCGTTACCCTAGTATTCCATAACACAAGCCTTATAGTGCTTACTTTGGGGCTAGGCTAATTGGTGTGAGTGTTGGAAATATTTATTTATTATTTATTTTGGTAAATTGTTACCCTCACATGTAAATTACTCAGCAGTTTTGCATGAAAATTGGAATACAGATAGAATATTACTTTTTATCACAATTTAGATTCTTATGGGGAAAAAACGAAGTGCTCAATATATTAGTTATGATTTCAATTCTAAAAGTCCATGCAGCCCAAGTCTTTGATGATATTCCAGGTAAAATTATTTTTTGAGCTTCTCACAAAGTAGGTACTTATCCAGCAAATTCTCTGCCAGTAATACATTTAATCTTTTTTCAATTATTCTAGATTTTATATTATTTTTCATACATAAGTTTTGAAGTGTTTTTATAACAGAAAGTATGTTAGCACATGAGTATGTTAAATTAAATACAACGTTTGAGGAGCTCTATGGCGCAAGTAGTTAGGGCATTCGGCCAGCGATCTTGGAAGTTAAGCAACTTTTTTGCAGTGGTCGGTCATTGGATGGGTGACCAAAAACTTAATATCTCAAGCTTCTTCAATGTTTTCTGATGGGAAGTTATGCCGTTGGTATCAGCTGCATCTGCAGGCCTTAATAGCCACCCATCTGCACTAGGCTAGCATGTTGTATCATGGCCCAATCTCCCTATTCCATCCATAGGGAAGGCCTGTACCACAGCAGTGGGAACATTAATAGGCTAATGATGATGATCATGAAGTTATGAAACCAAAACTCACAAGATACTCGGTCAGTTTCTTGACTAGAGGCTCCAGGTGCACTGTTCTTGCCCAAGCGTCACATACGAAGCACAGATTGAAGTAGAATGCATTCCTTGCATACTTTTTGTTATCGATTCTTACAGGAAACCCAAGGATTTTGGAGCCCAGTAAGGTCCTGTTGACAAGCCATTGAGATTTTTTTTATCAAATACAAATAAAAATTGCTTCTTAATTACACTTGCATACTCCTGTCAAACTTAACAGTACTGGTACTATAGCAACTTAAAAAACACATTAATAATATAAAATGAGAAGCCATTGATCAACATAGAGAAAAAAAATATTAAATGATTTATTTAATAATATTTAACTGTTGAAATGTGGTCTTTCATGAACATGCTCTGAATAAAAAAATGCAAATTAAGTTTTGATTTCAATTAAAAAGTTTAGTTATTAAGTACCTAAGTATTTTTTTTACTATTTATTCTCTCATTAATATATAATAACAGAAAAAAAATAACAAAGTTTATTATATAAGTATATAAAAGTTAGGTATTTTAACAAAATAAGTGCATGTAAACAAACTTGACTATGATTACTACAATATTAATAATTATACTAACAATTATTTGTATTACAGATATGCAGAAAAAGTTACTTACACTGTCAAAGTACATCGCTGCAACTGAACTTTTGGTATTATATAGTGGCTAACTGTGTCAAAAATGTCTTTGGAAATGTAGTTATCTGGCACTTGGCAAGTTATCTTTGGTCCGGCTGTAGGATGGAACTCACATAAGAATATGCATCGAATAGGTCCCTCTTGGCCGCAACCTTCGTAATATTTAGTATTTATATCCATCTTTAAAGTTTTAAGTGATGATAATAAACAACACTGTCACAACACATAACACTTGGTAAAGAATTGTTCACTTCATTAAACTTTTCATTTACCTACACAGCACACAAGCTATAATTACGATAACAAATCTTTAAAAATCGACATTCTAATATAATTTCGTGTAACGTAAATAATGTGGATCAAAGAGCAATAAAAAACACACCTACCCCCACAACTACTTGTAATCAACTGATTGACATGACAATATTGACATTGTGTGACAGTGACTGTCACACTGTGACACTTTTTTTTTTTTGTTGAAGTTCTCCCGATCTAGGGAAGGCAAAGGGAACAATGCCCATACAGCCTGGTCTTTAATCAAATTTATCTTCTTTTTGTTTATACATTAGAATGTCGGTGTGACGCATTCTAATGTTTCTTGGAGTGTTTGGCACGAAATGTATCGAGTTGGCTTTTTCGATAAGCTTCTGTGAGGTAGTCAACACTACAATAAAATTCTCACGTCCACTTGACCGGAATAGCGTATATTTTAATGATTCCACTAATTCTTCAGTTACGCAGACAGTTGTTACACAAAACCACACCAATTTTATTTCACAATATCCACTATGAACGAATTTAAGAATAATTAAAATAAGACGCCAACCGCACTCGATGAAATCCCGCCAAAAACCCTTTTTTTTTTAGTTCTCCCTTTTCTGAGAAGGCAAAGAGAGCAAGGTTCATACTGTCTGTCTTTTAATCTTAAAATTTTCTAATAATTTAAAGACAAAAGAAGGAAATCTATCCAACTTACTTTTAAATAATGTAGAATCGAAATACTGTCATAGCTGCATAAGTATTCAAACAACATATATATATTTTTTTAATTTCAGAAACCGTATTTACTTGAAATCTATTTCAATCTATCCCTTCTAATTTTTAATAGCAATTGATTTGACTTTTTGGAAGTAAACTTCGATTTCCGTATTGGAAGATTTAAAAAATATTTTTTAATGTTATCAACTTTGAATTTACAATATCCCCGAATTCAGGAGCCTATTGAATTAGTTATATTATATTTGTTGGTTTTCACGCACATCACTCATTAAATAAAACTTGTTTTTACGATATGATTTTTAAAGTTTTATTGTTCATACTTAGACAATAAAACTTTAAAAATCGAACAATGAATTAACCGAACGCCCAATAAAAGTCTTTTGAAGGTATAGTACAGTCAATCTGTAGGTTGAGTGGTGAAAAAAAAACCTAAAGGGTAAGTCTTGTTTTTTCTGTTGCCAAATGACGTCAGTAAGCCACCTTGGCGATGGGCATGTTCAACTCGTAGGCGTTTTTAGAAAAACAAAAAAATCGCCAAAAATTTTTTGAAACGCATTTTTCTTCTTTTGTATGCATTTTAGAAACTTTTTTTTCGACCATAATTGTAGAGGGCGTTGAGTACTACAATTTATGTCATTGTTGCAATCTCGTACAACAAAAAATGCGCATTGTAGGTGGCGCTAAAGTCTCAAAAAAAGTGTTTTTTCACTTTTTCACCCTGAAAATATCATTTTAATGGAAAACTTTAAATGGCTAAGTTGTTTCGTACATAATTACCAACAACTTTTGTATAAACAATTTTTTTGTATTACTTACCGTTTTCAAGTTATAAATTGCGCAGGTATAAAAAATCCAATAGAGCGGTTTTGGGCAGTTCAAGTACACATTTGCAGTGCACATTTCAATGTACGTTTTTACTACTTTTTTTTCAATCATGAAAAAAAATAAAAATAATTTTTTTTTTTAATTTTTTTTTTCATTTTTTTTTGTTTTTCAGTCATGAAAAAGAATAGTAAAACGTACATTGAAATGTGCACTGAAAATGTGTAGTTGAACTGCCCAAAACCGCTCTATTGGATTTTTTATACCTGCGCAATTTATAACTTGAAAACGGTAATACAAAAAAATGTTTATACAAAAGTTGTTGGTAATTATGTACGAAACAACTTAGCCATTTAAAGTTTTCCATTAAAATGATATTTTCAGGGTGAAAAAGTGAAAAAACACTTTTTTTTGAGACTTTAGCGCCACCTACAATGCGCATTTTTTGTTGTACGAGATTGCAACAATGACATAAATTGTAGTACTCAACGCCCTCTACAATTATGGTCGAAAAAAAAGTTTCTAAAATGCATACAAAACAAGAAAAATGCGTTTCAAAAAATTTTTGGCGATTTTTTTGTTTTTCTAAAAACGCCTACGAGTATGCCCATCGCCAAGGTGGCTTACTGACGTCATTTGGCAACAGAAAAAACAAGACTTACCCTTTAGGTTTTTTTTTCACTGAAACGATATTTTTTTCGACAGATTGACTGTACTAGTAGCTCGACAAATTAAATAAAAGTTTGATTCCGACGACGTAGCCTGTAAAGGCTACGAAACGTCAATAAATAAATAAAGTTTCGTGCACTAACCCGTAAAAACTAATTTTATTTGGTTATATTATACCTCACCCTATATTTTAGTATCTAGTATCTATCCCATAGAGATATAAGAATAGAGTGGGGAAGGCGGCTCTAAAAGTATCCGTCTAGTTGAAAGAGAAAGAAGATGAGAGACCACTAGCTATGATATATGTGACGCATGCGCAGTCGTCTGTCCAATAGTTGGTCCAAACATCACATCGGAAAAGTAAAATTTTTACGGTTGCCAATGCGCATGCGCGATTAGAGAGAGAAAGCTAGCGGTCTCTCATCTTCTTTCTCTTTCTATTTGAGGGGCACTTCCACTTGTAGTCGAGTCTATAACTCTATTGTTATACCTCTATGATCTATCTTTATAGTCTGTTTTTTTTAAAGTATATCGGAATGAAATCCATACAGCCAATTCTTCATTAATATGACTTCATTTCATATTTATCTTTGTTATTCAATGGTATCTTTTTTCTTTTACAAGTGCACAAACGTAGCGGAGATGAAGTCATATAAAATTTTATATGTTTCACAATTCTTGAGAATAGATGGCAAGAGGCCCCGCCTATGTCATCATCTTTAAATATCTTCAGTAGGCCATCTACTAAAATAATTCTTGATATTTTTAAGGCGGGACAATGTAAAATAAGGTGATCTAGTGAAGCTTCATCACCAGTGATGCCAGAACGTCCCAAAAGGGACGATTTTCGTCCCTTTTCTCATCAAAGCGTCCCATCGATGTCCTTTTACATATTCCGTCCCTTTTCCGTCCGTTTTCGATAACGCTTCACTGCAACATTAGACGAATGCGTTTCGTTTCACTCATTGATTTATTTCACTATATTGCCATCACTATTCGTTGTACATTGTCAACTCTATTCGTCAAATCACCCAGTAAACTACATCGAATTCAACGCTCGCTACGAAGGTGACGTTTAATATATACCTACCTATATCTATACCAACTCAAAGCTCTAACCCAATAACCTACCATATCTTACCTAATAAAACTTTTGTTGTTGAGGTATGTTTCAGTTATGAAGATAATAGGTAACTTAAGAATAAGTGCTTGCTTTGTAGAGTCGTAAGTACGTACGGTCCGTTCATACCACCATGATGTACCTATGTCCTCCGTACCATCTTCATTATGTTTATTGTGTGCCCAAAAAAATATAATTAATATGGCTCTGTTAAAATGTTTTTGAAGTGAAACTTCTTTAGGCACGCCTTGACTTGGGGGGTAAACTGGCGAATAGGGAAGATGCAATATTTTTATTTTTGTTTTCATTTTAAAGAATTCCATGTAGAATAAACCACAGATATATTAAAAACTTAAAACATTGTGATTTATCGGAAAAAATGCGGTTTTAAATTGACAGTTTAAATTTTCGCGCGAAAACGAACCTATGGTTGCGATGACGTCACTGCTGTCTGTCACTGGTCGTACTTGTTCGTTGCTGGCTTTAAATTTTCATACTTTTGCATATTTTTTCGACTTTCGAAATATTTTTTTGAAAAATTTAAAATGGACTATCCATCAACATCATGTGACTCATGTTTTGTGCCAATCTACTTCAACAAAGTTCTCAAATAAATTGATTTTGACTGGAACTTCTGACCCAAAACTTAAAAAAAGTGGTTTCAAGCTGCGAAGAGAAATGACAATAATTCTCCAAAGACCATTATTTGATGCTGAGAAGATCACTTTGACGTAAGTCGGCGAATATACTTGTATATATGCTTAATTAATCTGCTTGTACGTAAAAACGCATTAGTAACCTACCTAATACTTACAAAACCTGTCTATAACATATTTTTAATTTTACAGTTGGAGAATGACGTCGAAAATTAGATAAAGTTTAAAATGTGTGGCACAATCTTCACATTGGCAGGACTGAACCAAGCTTTGCGTTTCATTTAAAATAACCTTAACACGATAACCTTCTTTACGTACTTTATGCTCCGGAGAACTCGACCTTTTACTGTACATAATTCTCCATCTCTTTTAATTTGGACATAGCCGATTGCATTATCGCCGTAAGATTTTTAGAAGCCGCTGAATAAAATACGAAGTTTAACAACTACGATTTTTACATACCGTAGTAATTAAGTCCCTTTTATTTCTACACTTAAAAACTGCACTTTGGACAAAAAATGTTATAACCATGTCAACGCTAACTCTTGGTAAATTCCTGGAGTCTGCTTTGATAAACGCAACTTACGTTTTTATTAAATGTTAAAAAAAACGCAATAAATATTCCCATAAAATAATATTTACTTTAACAACCATAACCTCAAAGAAGTTGTCATAACAGGAGTGACGTCACTAAACGCTGATTGGTGTTTTAAAATACGTTCCGTTTCAAGTATTTTTAATTCGTAATAATTGTTAAAAAACAACATTATGTAAAATAAAAACGTTGCAGTGGCATTTCTTTTATATTTTTTTAACATTTTAATCATAAAATTTTCATATATATTATATATGCATCTTCCCTTTTCGTGTTACGATTAGTGTCATCGGTGACTCATCGGTAAACAATGAACAATACCTGTAACAAAATACATAAATACTAGATTTATGTATTTTGTTACAGGTATTGTTGCTTGGCTTGGTAGGTGATAACGGACCCAGAGTGGATTGATGGATGATAACGGACCCAGCGCAGATTGGTGGGTGATAACGGACCCAGTGTGGATTGGTGTATAATAGCGGACCCAGTGCGAATTGGTGGATGATAACGGAGCCAGTGCAGGTTAGTGGGTGATAATGGACCCAGCGCGGACGGGTTGGTGATAATGGATCAAGTGCGGATTGGAGGGTTATAACGGACACAGCGCGGATTGGTCAGTGGCAATGGACCCAGTGCGGATTGGTGGGTGATAATGGACCCAGCACGGATTGGTGGATGATAGCGGACCCAGTGTGGACTGGTGGGTGACACTGGACCCAGCGCGGATTGGTGGGTGATAACGGACCCAGTATGGATTGGTGTATAATAACAGACCCAGTGCGGATTGGTGGATGATAACGGATCCAGTGCGGGTTGGTGGGTGATAATGGACCCAGCGCAGATGAGTTGGTGATAATGGACCCAGTGCGGATTGGAGGGTGATAACGGACACATCGCGGATTAGTCGGTGGCAATGGACCCAGTGCGGATTGGTGTGTGATAATGGACCCAGCGCGGATTGGTGTTTTTTTTCTATCAAATTTCAGATCATTGGAGCTATAGAAATTTCACTTCAGTCGTGTGTTCCTAAACACACTCGCTTTTTTTTTCATTTAACCGCATTATGATAGAACTACACTTACCTGTCGTGTTGTGTTGTAACACATCAGAGAGCTATCTCTTTCATACAATTATGGTTAAAGTGAGAACGCTGTCGAAACATCGCAACACACAGGTATAGTTCTTAGTGCTAACCGTACTAAATGTATGAAGCAGATTGCGCCACAATACAACACGTAAGATAAATATAGTTCAGCCTTTAGTTTAATATTTCTGTAAGGCCGTCCTTTTTGACTTAAAATCGTCCCTTTTCAGATTTCGAATCGTCCGAAACACGACGCAGGTACTGGCAACACTGTTCATCACTATCGCAATATTCACAAGTTCCTGAAGATTTTAAATTTAATCTATGAAGTGCGCACCGAACCTTCCGTGACCTAATCTGAGCCTGTTTTAATAGTAGTTACATTATAGTCTGTGATTTTAGTTTATTTTCGTTTTTGACAGTTGTTTTGTTTACATTTTTAATAAAAATAGTTTTTGGCTATGGGAAAACACTCCTATAAATTGTTAATTGCTGCTACAGGCAGCGTAGCCGCATTAAAAATTCCTATTTTGCTGAAGTCTCTCACAGATGAGAGTTCATATACTTTTGAGGTTAACAATTCACTTGAATCGTTTTACCGATTTCTCACTATTACCTTATTCAACATCAATAAACTAATTCGAATATTATAGGTTCGTCTAATTTTAACAGAGCATGCAAAGAATTTCTTCGATTTGTCCGAGTTGCCGCCAGAAGTTCTTATTTACGATGATAAATCGGAGTGGGAGACTTGGAAGCAGAGAGGAGACCCTGTACTTCACATAGAACTTGGAAAGTGGGCCGACATGATGGTTATAGCACCATTAGACGCCAACACTTTGGCCAAAATGGCACAGGTATCTACATTTATACTGCCAAGGAAGGAATATAAAAGTATTACATTATCGCTAAAAATCCCTGGAGCTCATGTAACATAACTCTAATAGCCACCTCAATTGGCTTTGCTTTGATTCATATTTTGTTATGTTTTAGGGAATATGTGATAATCTTGTTACATGCACAACTCGGGCATGGGATATGACAAAACCTCTTCTTTTTTGTCCCGCAATGAACACAAGAATGTGGGAACATCCCATCACAGCCAAGCAAGTTGCCTCGTTAAAGGAATGGGGGCACACTGAAATACCACCTATAAGCAAGACTCTAATCTGTGGAGATACTGGTGTTGGGGCAATGGCAGAAGTTTCAGTTATTGTAGATACAATCAAAAAGAGGTCTTCAAATACATGAATGAAAAGTATTATTATTGTTAATGGTTCATATTTGCTGTTGCTAGGTCCAGCTTGTCAAATTTTTAGTGTTGCATCATTAGTTAGCCAGTTTGAAATTTTAACATTAATTATTTTTTAATTTGTGTTTAGCAAACAAATTATTGTTTATGATCTATATTACCTGCCACTTTGTCTGCTTGGAAAAATTCATTAACACAGTGCTTAGTGCATTTGATTAGCCATAAGAAAGGTGAACAAGATCATAAAGCTCAAGCTTCTGTGTGCTTCTAAAGATACGTTAAGCTTCTGTAAGTTGATCCTGCTGCATCTGCAGCCATCCACACTAGGTCTGTATGATGCATCATGGCCCAATAGATTCATAATGATAATACTAACATTAATAAAAAAATCTGATGACAACATTTTTTATGTTGCTCATATTATCATTCTGACATGATTATTTCTAATTGAAAGTTTCATAACTTTTCAACTATCACGTTGGTTTCCAATTGGTTCTTTAGTATTGGTTTGTATTAAGAAAAAATTAAGAAAAGTATGCATATCTCATATTATACTATTACGTATTAAACTCAAAATTATAGAATCAGTTATTAATAGAGAGTACACAGGAAAACGAGGGATATTTTCAGGCTTTTAATAAAATAAAAATGCTTATTGAATGTAAATTGTTTATTGCATCGCTGAATACTGGTACTAATGCTAGCATACATGCAATATAAACAAAACTATCAAAACCTATTTAAAAACTTTTGTATACTTTACATACAAATAACTATACAGAAAAAACATGATAAACTTTTACTAAACTTAAAAACTCGTTTTCCAACTACTACAGACATGAATAGAACTACAAAAAATAAGTCTTAGTGCTGCACCAAGGTCGTACCAGAAATATTCTGATAATGCGTGCTACTAGTTAGTTTGTAGGTAAAATAGTAATTTTATAACACATAACTTATGTGATCAAATTTAATATATTTTTTTATAATCATTATACACCATCATTGAAAACCTGATATCTAGTTTTTTGTTCCAATCTTCTTTTTTTTTAACCCTGTATTCAATCCAAGAGAAGAATTTTACTGTCCCATACAAATCTGTGGTGACTTAGTAATTTTTATAAATAAGCAAACTAAGATAAGCACCCTCTTAAAATAATAGACATCAGAATTCACAGGAAATAATAAAATGATAAATAATAACTACTGTAGTTATATTTTTAACTTTTTAACCATTTAACTGCTAGATGTTAAAATCTAAAGCAATTTTAGAAAAAAAATCCATTCTATAGATTTAAATAAATATAATATAATAATAATAAAAATCCTTATTATTCATTCATTTTCGAAGTATATGAGGGCATACTTACTATCCATAAAAAATATTTATAAATTAAATTGACTTTTTGTGTATGAGGCTGTTAATAAGTGGGTATGTAATATCTAAGTGCTTTATAAATTAATTAATTAAATTATTTTTATATAATTACAATAAAATAATTGTATTTTAGCAAATTAATTTTAATTTGTAATAGTACCGATTCCAGACATATATAAAATAATATATTATTAAAAAAAAACTATTGCATGCTTCTTTTCTCAAGTAACTTGAGTAACATAAAACTATATTTACAATTAAGAAAATAATAAAATATGATTGTGCCTTTCTCTAATTGAAACTGCCACAATCAATATTAATAGGCAATATTTACAAATCAATGAAACAGTGGTAAAAAATCAGATCAATTTGCTGCATACTTATCAATCTATAATTTGAGTGAGACGACACAGAACGAAAAATATATTTAAAAATGTCATGCTATAGATTACAAATGCTTTATTGTATCACTTTTGCTGTCTGAGTTTAATAGACAAAATCGGTGAGAACTATTTGAACTATCACATTATAATGGTATAAAACTGTAAATTTATAAATGCACACACATTTAAACTTACTCAGTATGTTTAAACATTGTTTTCTTATAGGTTCATTATAGTAATTATTGTATACACATAATATATTATAAGGACACTGTTACATTATTTTAACTAACATACTTATATTATATTGGAATCATAAATATTTGTAAAATAGGTCGGATCGATTAAAACTTGCGTAAAAACTGTGCGCTTAAGAAAGGCTTTATAAATCTAGCGATTCTACTAAGGCCCATATCATAGCACTGCTATATATTATATACGATTGCTCCTCAATGGACTTCAAAACAAACACTATCAAAAGCTAAGCTTTATCCTTTCACAAATCAATAATATATGTAAATTGTCCGTAGCAAAATATCGTGTTCGCTGTCACAAGTGGAATGGAATGAATCGTAGGCGTATCAAATATAAATTTTCGTGTAAATTGCACTTACATCAATCGTCTATGGCAAGAGACGCTAACCAGCCAGCGTTCCGATTTAAGTGTAACATAGAAACTTCGAAAGTTTTCTACACTTAATCTAACCCCTTTTGCCGCTTACAAATATCTTCCTCTGGAAGAGAGGTTACAAATCGCGTACACGCTCGATCAGGGTAAAAAGAGCCAGCCCTTTTTAAGCTCCAACGTGAAAGAATCACTTAAAAATATAGTATAATCACTTAATAAATAGTCGGCACATCGTTCATACGACGGTTTCGTTCTGCTTATCGAACATGGCTCGCGTGTACTTCGATATCGCTTCGTACGTGGACTTGATGAGTTCGCAGCGGTCGTCGACCTCGCAGTCGGTGGGCGCTACTCTGTACGGGGACGTTTTAGTTTTGCGCGTGCTATTGTGCGTGTGTGCGTCGGTGAAATCGTTCACCTCAATGTTGTAGACGGAGATGGCGTGTTTGGTGTGTACCATTTCGAGGTCCTTGCGTGGTTTCTTTCTGGGTTCGTTGTTGCAGCGGGCGTCGATAGCGGCGACGGCGGCGGATACCCCGCACCCGTCGGGTTGGTATCATACGTCCAGTTCGTCCAGACCTTTGGAGAGGCGGTGCGAGTTGATCCGGCGCCGGTGCGACCTGCGTACGGCGTCCGCCCGCCGGTACGGCTCGCTCCGTAGCCCGTGTAGGATGTCTTCAAGCGCACCGTTGTATACCTCGTCTTGGTGCAGCAGTTTCTTTTCGCCGACGGCCTGCGACTTCGTTTTTAACTCGTTGATTACAGCCTCCTAAAGGTTTGACGTTACATTAGAACGAAGAAATGAAGGGAAGTTTTCAAACTGTTTGGGTGTGTCTAAAGTCACGCGAACAGTAAAAGCACAGGTAGGTCTGTCATATTGCAAGATGTCTTTGTAAATAAATGAACTGCAAAATATTAATAATTATTTCTAATGAAGCAACTTTTTACTTATGTAAGAAATGTTTAATAATTTTAATGATCATTGAATGAAATGTCAAGCAGATTTGTTTATACAGAATACTCTCTAAATACGCGGGCAAAATGTACCTACAATACAAAATATTCTATATTTTTAGCTTGAATGAAAACACTCTAATTGAACACAACTTAAAACTAGTAATAATGTGTAAATAACCAAGCAATTAGAAAATAATAGCAAAAGTTTTAAAACCATGTAATTCGTGTTAATGTAGGGTTAGTACAGACAGAACGCAAAAAATCTCCGAGCAAATAACTCGCGGACGACGTCGACGCACAGATCCCCGCGCGGGCTCGAGCCTGTCGCCGTCTCTAAACGTATATTTGCTCTCAAGCCCCCTTATTAATAAACAAAAAATAAGCTTGGATTAGTTACTCTAAGGTTTATCTCTGTTCAATAAATGACACATTTGAGTGATATGAACAAAACATGGCGTAACTAATCTAAGCTTAGTCCTCGTTTATTAATACGGTGGTACGTGAATAGCGACCAGAGGAGGCTCGAGCCTGTGCGAGGCTTTTTACGTTCCGTCTGAACTGACCCTTATCAAAAGACATTCCCTGTTAGGTTCCATGCATTGTGCAGCGTATAGGAGGAAGGAATAGATTTAATAAATGTTATATACATTATTTACTTATAGAAACGTTATTAAACAGTAAGGAAGGAAATAAAGTGTATTGTTATAAATATAAAACTATATTAATTTATAAAAAACGATATACAAAGATATATTATTACTTATATCGACGCTTAAATTATGATTATTTTAACTCAATATTACACAGGTAATAAAAGACGACCACCCTATGAGGATCAAATATTCAGAACAACTATCCTTCATTAAATTATTTGATTTGATTTAACCTTTAACAAGAGCGGAATATTTCCCAATGTCATAGGTAGAAGCGTAGACCCCCCCCCCACCCCACGCCCCCATAGAATAAGTAAATGAAATCGAAGTATAGGTCGGTAACGAATGCCTTGGTATGACTTGCCGCCCCCGGGCCATGGCCCTCTTGTCCCTAGGATTAATACTCCCCTGGCCATTGGCTTATAAAGCAACTGTTGCCTCTAGCAGCAGTTACTACACATCGGCGACAGCTACTGTGGCGTCGAAATGCATCCTATCGATCGGGTATAAGAACTCTTTACTTGACGACCTCCGTGGCCGAGTGGTTTGTACGCCGGGTTTCATGGTGTCGCCGACTCGAGAGGTCCCGGAATCCCGGTGGGAGCAGATGTTCGTGTGATGAATACGAGCATTTGTACTCCAGTCATGGATGTTTAATATGTATTGCTATATAAATATACTCATATATGTACAGTATATGTTTTCTATCCGTTACCCTAGCATCCCATAACACAAGCCTTACAGTGCTTACTTTGGGGCTAGGCTAATTGGTGTGTGTTGGAAATAAGATCATTCGCGCCATTGCCTACCCTGATCCAATCCCCTATACCTACCCCGTGGAACCCTGTAATCTTACTCATCTTCAGAAACAGAACAACGCCTTCTACATCTTCTGGAAGGTAAAGGTTACTCCCCAGAGTTCTCCAATTTGTGTGGGAACACCGCTATGGCCTACCTCTTGGCTTATTGTAGCCTTAAATTGGTTTGACGTTTTTGAGTAGGTACGTCTGTTAGATTATCTATCTCATTAATTGAAACTTAAAAGATTTGTTTTTATATATGTCCTTGAATTCCTGTATAGCTAGGTAATGGTGTCGATTCTGGCATGATTCTCTAAACCTAAACTTAAATTTGAAAACAGTGTATCCTTCTCATTCTCTATACAGAATGAAAAAGAGATACTGATGTTAAATTTAGTTTTAAGTTTAGAGAGATGTCGATTCTGGCATGATTCTCTAAAGCTAAACTTAAATTTGACAACAGTGCATCCCTATCATTCTCTATACAGAATGAAAAGGAGAGACTGATGTTAAATTTAGTTTTAAGTTTAGAGAATCACGCCAGAATCGACACCATTGTCACGCCAAGTTCGACACCATTGACTTAATGTAGCCTTAAATTGGTTTGACGTTCCTAAGTTAGTCTGTTAGATTATCTATCTCATTAATAGAAACTTAACAGTTTTTTTAATGGAAGTCCATGAATCGCTGTATAATTAGGTACCATATAGTGTCGTGGTGGTCATGCTATGAGTTCGGATTCAAAACTGATGTCAGAAAGTATTTGACAACACATTTCTTAACAAATCAGGGCCTAACGTCTACTCAATATTGAAAACTTCATGCTGATGTTCTAAAAGCGGTAGACTAGTTGGGTGTTTAAAGAACCTCGCGGGTATATTTGGCTGGTGGGTGGTAGTGTTCGGTGAATCTGTGTGCATGCTTAAATCGCGTGACGGTTAAATGGGGTAGCTTCATAAACGTCCATGAGTACAAAATCAGGAATATTTAAGAAATTTATCAAGAGCTTGCAATTTATTGCATGGCAACATTACAATAAACTTAATTCATAGTCATTCTCTTCATTTAGATCATGAAGATTTAATTTTTTTTTTTAAATTTTCAATTATTAGAAAATAGAACAAAATTTTGTTTTATGAATATTCCAGTTGAATAGCGGCCCGTTTTCCATGCTTCTGATAACATTTCCTATTTCATACATATAATTTAAAATTGCCAAAAAAATATAAGTTCTAAAACAAGTTTAGCAGCCGGTCTACTCCCGGCTAGCGTTAAGTCTTTCCAGAATTCCGAATTGCCGGAAAAGATAAACTTGATTGTTTATTAAATAAACTGTAACAAACCTTGCACTGGAGGATAAGATGTTTTGAAAATAATCGTAAATATTAAAGTAAAATAGAACGCTGTACCCCAAGCACGAACTTTGATAGCAGCCGTAATGCAATTGTCAAATTTTCTACGGAAGACAACGATAGTAAATACCCTAGATACGCCACGTGGGGTAAAATGTGCCCCAATCAAGAAGTGCTTGAACACCATTTAAGCACTTTTTGGTTCACAGTAACGCGCGGACCGTTGAAAAGTCAACATGCCGCAGAGCAGAGATGCCGCAGAGCAGAGATTTCGCAGAGCTCCGTGAAAAAATGCTTATACTAGTACGTAGAATGTCGTTTTTTCGACAGGCATCGAATCAATGTTTGTTAATTTAACGCATTTGAAGCAAATATTGTTGTAATACTTACTATAAACTGATTTACTAGAAAATAATTGTGATATTCAAATGCATGGTCGGTTACATAGCCGTTTATTTTCTTCGCGGTCCGTACCTGCTATATTGCTAACAGCGCATTCAAAATTGCGCGTAGAGTCAAAGAAATAAAGACTATTATCATCCGCCTATAGCAATAAGTCGTAAAATTTTGCGAGCTTGCATTTCGAACTGTCATAACTCTTTGATGCATGCTTTTAAATTTTAGACGTTATAAAGTATGCTGTAAAGGTGACTTTCAATGTTAAAATAATGCCTTATATTGTTTTTGACTACGCGATCATCTTACGGAGCTCTGTGGATCATCCAATGTACCTTTTGGTCAGGTTTCGGCCATGATTTTGTTCGTGTTGGTGTATCTATACTTCGACTTTTTATTAGCTGCAGTAAAATGACGTTTCAAAATGTCATTCCGTAAAATAATGTTGACAGCCTAATTTCAATAGGGATGTGCTTAGGTTCACAGAAAATCTAATCGTTCCATAAGTAACTCATAATGATCATACTTAATTCTATTTATTATTCATATAAATAAAAGGCTGTATCAAATCTGAAGTTGGTACTGGTTTTTAGTTACGGTGCTACAATGACGCTTGTCCGCCATTTTATTTTATTTGTCATTCGCTCATTTGGCTTCTAACTTCTATTTTGAGTGCACGAATAACTTTGCTTTGCCCACTGCGAGTTGTTTTAGTTATCTTTCTCGAAAGAGACATTGAGAAAAATTATGAAGCATCTTAATTTCAAATTCGCTACTCGATCACGCACTTATTGATAGACAAGATATCATATCATGGCGCCAGCGCTACCTGTGTTTAATTAAACAATATCGTAGGGAGGGAAGATACATATAATATTATCAAGGCAAGACCTGGGTCAACGCTGGTAAGTGGCAACTCTTAGTTTTCTATGTTTGATCCCCTTTTATTTAGCTGTCGAAACGATTATTCTACGTCAAACTACATGTTTAATGTCTTGTATGTCCTGTGAGGTGTATGTCAATAAAGAATATTATTATTATTATGATTATTTTTTGTTCTTTTCAGGTCATACTACAAAACAAACCTGGAGTGATGGAAGTATAAAATCTTCTCGGCAGGCATTTTAAGACAGTCTAACTACGGGATTAAAAAATCAACCCACAGGAAAGGGCAAATGACTCATAATCAGTCACATTGGCGGAGAAGAAGGCTTCCTGGACGACGGACTTCTTATGTTTGAAGCAAAGAAAGGTACAGAAGATTACCATGACGGCATTCTACCCAAACTCAAGCCGAATGCAGTAGTCATAATGGACAACGCGCCTTATGATTCTAGGAAGATCGAAACAATCCCAAAGATGTCGTGGACGAAAGCACGAATTCAAGAGTGGCTGACCACTAAAAATATTACATTTGAACCAAATATGGTGAAGGCCACTCTCATAGATATTGTGAAACAACAAAATCATACTGACAAATATGCCGTGGACAAGATTGCTGAAAAAGGTATCAGACTTTTAAGACTGCCCCCTTATCACTGTGAATTGAACCCCGTCGAGTTGGCTTGGGCTCAGGTAAAGGGGCACGTCGCAAACAATAATAAAACATATAAAATGCAAGAAGTGAAAACTTTATTCCAAGAAGGAATCAACAAAGTGACACCGGCTAAGTGGAGTGACTGTGTGTCTCACACTATAAAAGAGGAAGACAAAATGTGCCACCTCGATCATATCATACATGAAATGACAGACAGATTTGTCATCAGTGTGACCGAAAGCGATAGTGATTCCGAAAATGATTGATTAATAAATAACATTGTTATGACAATTTTGTTTAATTTTGGATGTACGTCCTTATACTTTTCCACTGAAACAGATCAATCCTTTACTAAAGTAATAATAATAGAATAAAAAATCATTACAACTTAATATTAAATCTCTAAAACAAAACCAAACTGATCATTCATTTATTGAATGATTCACTTACTCACTTAGCTACATCCCTATTTATTTTTCTTCAAAAAGCGGTAACCCACAAAACGTCATTTTACTGCAGCTAATAAAAAGTTCTACTTTAGGGTATTTTATATCGTTGGTGTTGTTCTTACGTCCGGTAGGGGCGCTGCTTAGTTTCTAAAGAAACTTTGACGATGCGATACGATAACAGATCTGTCCAAGTTCGTGCTTGGAGTACTGAATACGAATTAATAGGTAAACATAATGGCCGACTTATAAAACGCGACGCCATCCGACTCCACGCAACGCGTATTGCGTCAAACAAAAAAGGTACTTCTCACATTATCAGAATCACATTAGGAACATTCGACGCGACGCGGTGCGCCATTAAAAATACGCGTCGCGTTTCATAAGTCTGTTTCTGCCTTTATTCCTGTTTATGACTCATGACGTTGTCCACATTATGCCAGGATGATCAAGTATTAGCACCCCATCTCCTTCCAACCAACATGCTCCCACTCTCCCATTTTTAATTTTAAATTAGACACTACGATTACGCCGACATTAAAATTCACTCGTTGATAGAGTATCCAAGATATTTTTTTACTTATAAACGTCATTTAGCTGCAAAGCGGACTAAGATGCTAATTAACTCAGGGAACACCTACGAAATAGGTTAAAAATCAAAAATTACTTGTTTCATTACGTTGCAGAATCATTCACTGATATAAACCAATTTTTCTACTATAGGATTGGCAATCAACATATCAAGTTTTGTTTGTATATCTCTGATTAATTTTAAACCTTAAATTCCCGCAATAAAGTTTAAAATGTTCTGAGAAAATTCCACAATTTGAATCTGAACCAGGAGCTTCAGAGTATTACTCCAGATAATGCATCAAAAGCGTTGTTTCTCGTTTTATATTCACATTATCGGCATCTAAATTTCATTTGAACTCATCTTTTGTAGGGTAAGGGAATCAAGATTCAGTGTTACCAGTAATACGAATAAAAATTACCCTACTCAAGAAAAACAAATTAACTAAACAACGTTTATAATTTCTATTCTCACTCCACACACATCATGTTAGTACTTTTACACACGCAGGTGAAAGGCCCCCTTGTAACTGTCAACGACTTACTCCTAATAGTATTTGGTAGGACGAGCCTAGGTTAGGTCGGCTCTATACTGTGCCTCAACTGGGATAACTGTTGCTGCAATAGGCCAGCGCTGACAGCCGCGTAGTTAAACCTCTGTGAGAAATGTTTATGGTTTACCATCACCACTACTGTACTTTTGATTTATTGAGTATGGCAACATTGCTTAGGTGTAGATTTATTTGCTTAATTTTCATGATTATCATAGTACCTTTCACAAACGGTTTCAAATACGATGTCTTTGCGTTTTGAAGTCCAGAAACTATGTTTATAATGAAAATATTATTTTAGTTTCATGTATATAAAAATCGATATCAAAATTCTACCAAAAGCAATGTTGCCATATTAAAAAGTGCAGTGAAATTACCACCACCGTGTTATGCCACTGTATTGATGTGTCCACTGATTTACCGAATGAAATGAAATATGTAATTATGCAATAAATACAATATTTCACTCGATATTTTACACGTAATTATGGTTATAATACCTAACAGAAATGTATTAAAGAAGAGTGAAATAAAATTAAGATAAAATCAAAATGTTACGTCACTATACTGATGTAGTAAGTAAATTAAATCACAATGCACACAATTTGAACATTTGTGTTTAATGTTACTACATCAATATAATTAAAACAAAATTAGTAGAAAATGTAAGTAAATACTTCAATGAACTCGATTATTTTAAAATGTTACTATATTAATTGAAAACTATTTAAATATGCTGCATATTAACTACTGAAAAAGGACTCCATTCACCGAAGCGTTATATATACAGCGAGCCATTTAAAGCGAAAACTGTTGTTTGTTCAAAATCTTGAGTTTTAACCAAAAAGACAACAAGTGTATTTACATAATTTTGAAACATTTCAATGAAATGTAAATTATAACCAAAACCATCAAATCCGATAAACCAATGATTGAGAATGTGGGTAGTTGGAAGACATTAATAATATCAACCTTTTTAAAAGATATATCTTACATTAAAACAAAAGGGAAGATACGGCACTGGCAGCTCAAAAGTGATCCGCTTAAATTGTGGTGCATGACCACAATTGGACATCCGAACACGATGCATGTGCACTCAATATAACAATATTGCTTATATTCTGTGTTATAAAGATAAAACAATGCCTTCGATGCTTTTATAAAGAACACAAATAGTTTAAGATCAAATAACAAATGCCAAGGCAACACTTTTCATTCGTAAAACTATAAAAACATTTTTTTCTCAAATATCACAATTTTAGTTACTGATTCTTCCTTTTTTATCAAGAAATGGACAACAATACAGTTCAGCAATCTGTAGAAAGAGAACGCAGTCTCGCAGTTTCGCTCGCGCTGCGTTGAAGCGTACAATTCTGTCTCGCTCGCTCGATAAAGGTTTATTTACAGAAGTTTGCGTGTGTGAGAGTTGCTTATGTAGTTGAATCGGATCATATTTTATTTAATGGTAGTATGAGCGTACCGTATTTCCCCTTTTGTTTTAATCTAATGATAAAATATGTCGCGTTACTCTTGTTCATATTAGAAGCCCCGCATGCTTCTTGACCATAAACCATAGACAGCGGAGCCAGTGCAGTAGCAATTTTGCTACATAAACGTCTACTGCGCAAGTTTATGTCTTTGGTTTTGCTCAAGAAATTTGGCGCTACCTTCTATTTAATTGTGTTATCAAGACACACGAAATCAATTTAACAACCAAAAAGTTCAATTTCGGACATCCAAGTAACCACATTCTCAATGAACCCGTGAACCTTATGTGAAGGTCGTAGGGGTGAGATTGGCATACCTGTTGTTTCTTCTGCATGAGCTTGGCTTTGTTCGGGTCGACGGTGTCGGCTTGCTGCGCGGCCTGCTCGAGTCGGCGGCGTTGCTCGTTCTCTGCGTCCGCTTGCTGAATATTATTTAGATGGGAGTCAATTTCTTATTCTGGCAACTGACAATTTTAGTTCTATTTTTTAATTTATTAGCATTTAACTGCTTGATGTTTAAATCGAAAGAAAAAAAAATAGGGTTCGAGTCCCTGAAACTTTTTCCTAGTAAATTTTCCTTCTTTCAAATGTTTAATACTTGTAACTCGTTTGAAATTGTGGATTACCAACAATGCAAAAAGATTGCAGCCTAAGAAATTCTAAAGAAAATTCGACACGGCCATCAGGGCCGCGGGAGCATAATGGTCAGTGCATCCGTCCGGTTAGCGGAGGGTGCGGGTTTGAGTCCCGCCTGCTGCCAGGTCCTGATTTGGTTGAAAATTGTTTAATCGCCACTTCTTAATTTAAAAATAGTACCTAGCTATACTTAACTTTTGTTAATTAATAATATTAATGTGATGGAAGTTGACATCAACACATGTTTTCAATTTTTGATGTCATCTTTCAATTGACGACACTGTATGAAATAAAACAGGGAGAAAACAAAGCCCTTGCTGAGTTTCTTGCCGGTTCTTCTCAGTACAACGTCTCCCGCCGTAGATTTACGAACCGATGGCGTAGCGTTTGACTTTCAAAAGAGCTTGTAACAGCCTAGACTAAATAAATGAGTTTGAGATATTTGAGATATATCTGAGGCTCAGATTGTATGATTACCTTGAACGCTCTCGCGAATCTCACGAGCAGCGAGAAGAAAGCGTTAGCGTCGCATCCGCGCGGCGCCTCGCCGAAGTACTCCACGCAAGATGCGAACGAGTCCTAAGAAATAAAAATAAAAATCTATCTCAATAATTACAAAGTTTTTATAAAATCGTTAATTTCTCAAAGTTTAAAAAGCAAAAAATATTTTCAAACACAAGTGCAAATAACTTATGTATTATTGTAGTGATGTCTTATTAACTTAGTTGTGCAAATAAAAATGTAGATAATAAGAGGCTACTTGACAGAATGAAAAATATAGTACAACTTGTTAGCATCTGAATTTAAGATGAATTTCAGCCACGACTTTACTATTCTGAGAGAACAAATTATTGATAACTTTTCTAAAAAAATAATTTAATAGAAATGAGGTTTTTGTACTATGTGATCGAAAACGCCTGGGATTGGCGAAAACAAAAACGACGTCACGCGCTAGTAAACTTCCGGGCAATTTGACGTTTTAATGACAGTCCTGTGACGTCACATACCAGTGAGACGCCATAATGTCCAGAGAAACGTTGACGCAACTTGAAATGGAATTTTTGATTCAGTTTTTTTCACTAAAATACACAAGAGATGATGAATATCCATCCTTTATATGGACTCCATAAACATTAGTAAATCACGTGATATCGTTTTCTAAAACTTGTCAAATACCCATATTGTGTTAACTGTATACAAAACTCTTTCTAAGCCGCAATTCGACAAGTTTTATTGTCTTTCTAGTTTTATGTACTTTACTAGCGGCCCGCCCCTGGCTTCGCTTCGGTGTAGAGCTGAAGTGTAGACTACAGTTTTTGTTCTCAGGCTTGAATTATACACAACGACATTCATCTATGATTCTTCTTATACCTGCATGCAAAGTCTCAGCCCGATCGGATTAAAATTGACAAAGTTTCATACAGACTTTCATTCCCTATTTTATCCCATTGGGGGTAGAATTGATCAAAATCCTTTCTTAGCGGATGCCTACGTCATAACATCTACCTGCATGCCAAATTTCAGCCCGATCCGTCCAGTGGTTTTGGCTGTGCATTGATAGATCACTATGTCAGTCAGTCACCTTTGAGTTTTATATATATAGATTTTGGTGGCGAGTCACAATCTTCTAAGTCGCAGTGACTACAGTCCCGTTGGGGCTGCATGGCCCCAAGAATTCGAAATAATAATAATACATGCGGGTTTTTGGCGGGATTTCATCGAGTGTGGTTGGCGTGGATATTGTGAAATAAAATTGGTGTGATTTTGTGTTACAACTGTCTGCGTAACTGAAGAATTAATAGAATCGTTAAAATATACGCTATTCCGGTCAAGTAGACGTGAGAATTTTATTGTAGTATTGACTACCTCACAGAAGCTTGTCGAAAAAGCCAGCTCGATACATCTCGTGCCAAACACTTCAAGAAACATTAGAATGCGTCACATCGACATTCTAATGTAAAAAGAAAAACAGAATAATTTAACTTAAGACAAGGCTGTATGGGCATTGTTCCCCTTGCCTTCCCTGAAAAGGGAGAACTTAACCAAAAAAAAAAAAATATACCTGCGCGTGCTTGGTCTCGGTCCGCAGCCGGCGCAGCTTGTCGGCGGCGTTGTTGAGGAAGTCCCTCAGCACGTGCGGATGGGAGGCCCGGTGCGAGTCCCTCGCTTCACACTCGCGCCGCACCGCTTCCATGCCGCGCTCCAGCTCGCATACGTCGGCTACCACGTTCTCTAGCGACACTACGCACACACCATCTACCTGTTAGCTATACATATACAGTAGAACGCCGATTATCCGAACGGTGATTAACCGAATCGGTCCTAAGCCTCCTCCTTAATATAAAAAATTAAAAACCAAGTTATTTTTGTTTTGTTGGAACTCGCTTGAATCCAGATATATTTCAACTATTATGGTTGAAAGCTAGAGGCAAGACACTACATGTTCTGCGTCGCGCGGTTTTTTTTTGATACTACTCGTATGTACCTCTATTATTGTATTTAGTATTGTACAACTGTGTTTGTTAAACTTAATAAAATTTAGTTATGTTTTTATTTTGTAAGCATTTAACTGCTAGATATTTAAATCCAAAGAATAGTTTACTAGAACCTACACTAGCCCCGTCTGCTGCCTGGTCCTAGTGGATTTTTGTCTATTAAATTTTTCTTTAATAAGGTTTATTCTATGTGTGACAATTCGTTTTTCTTTATTACGAGTCTATGCCCGATTATCCGATCCAAGTTTTCGATTATCCGAATCGACCCCGATCCCAATTAATTCGGATAAATGGCGTTCTACTGTATTGCGATTTAAACTGAAATGCCTGGCGCCAGGTGACAGCACTGAGACGAAAGGTTCACTTATCCGTCAAATCACTATGTCGTCATAGTGTATGGATCAATTTAAATGTTCGATCGATTAATTCGCGCCAAAAACTTCCAACAAGAGACTTTAAGTCACGGTGACGCCGACAGGTGGCATAAATTTTCCTAAACGCTGTTTTAATTCAGAGACATCCTAGCGCGCTAATATAATCCTAAATTCCGTTTAGTCCACTGTGACTTGCACTAACTTCACAACCGACACAGTAAAATATCCTATCTTTAATATTTAATATACTTTCCCTCCGTGTGAGGTAGCCATGGGACGCCCTGTGTAGCATACATATGTCGCAGGCAAATTGTATGATTCCGCGTTTTACAAACGGCTTCGTCCGTTTAAAATGCCGGTCATAATGAAAGGGAGCAACTGATGTTAAATTTAGTTTTGAGTTTGGAAAACCATACAAGAATCGACATCATTGTTAGTTAACATGTTACGAGTGATAATGACGTCTGTGGGAAGTGGAAAGCTTTACGGTAGAGGCATGAAACAATAGCATACTATAACATTATTAAAACATAATTAATTTAGTAATAAATTTACAAACCTTGAGCAGCTTTATCGATGTATAGCAACTCTGTGTCGAAGTTCATGAGCTCGGGGAAGTTCTGCCTGATGGTGGCTACAATGTAGTGTAGCAATGATATCCGCTTGTCCGTTGACTTTGTATCCATGAGAGTGTCCAACGATTGGAGCTTGAAACCGTACGCGGGACCGCGCTTACTGCTGTTCAGGTAGTTACCGAACGCTGGAAGGAAACACATTATATTCACATAGTATAAAACAAAGTCGCTCCCGCTGTCTGTACGCTTCATCAACATCAGCCCGTTAATATCCCCACTGCTGGGACACAGGCCTTCGCTATGGATGAAATAGAGGTTGGGCCATGACCCTCCACGAGGGCCCAGTGCGGATTGGTGGGTGCTAACGACTGTATATGCAGCCGGGACCTGCGGCTAAATTTTTGGTCACCCATCCGATGACCGACCACTGCGAAAGTTGCTTAACTTCAACGATCGCAGCCTAACGCGCTAACCACTTGCGCCATCGAGCTCCTCCTGTACGCTTAGATCTTTTGAACTACGCAACGGATTCTAATGCAGTTACCAGCAATAGAAAGTGATTCAAAAGGAATGTTTGTATGTGTAATAAATACATGTTTGAGAACAAAAACTGTAGACTTTACCGAAGTTAAGCGAGGGTTTTCATTAGTAAATAAATAAAAATATACCGGATATAAAATTTCAGATATTAAATCCCATATGTTGAATATTCAGTGTCAAGTAATCCTAATCGATTTCGAAGCTCATGTCAAACAAGATATAGTTAAGTTAGTTGGCTTGGCATTTACGACGACGCATTCCTGCAAAGGATGCGAAACGTCAAGAAATAAATAAAATCAGTGCATCTAACCTGTTGAAACTTTTACTCCATTTCTAGTAAGTATAGAAAACAGAAATTAGATTGACCAGACTAGGAATGAATCTCAAGATCTCAAAGATTGCAATGACGACTACGATATTTGGATAGATTTGTCAACAATAACCTAGACGAGATGAGGTTTGCAATATAGTTACCTAAAATAATCTCCAGAACATTCCTCAACTTCTGCGAAGACTTAACCGACGATGAACCAGATATGATGGCGTGGATCTGAGGCGTTATCAGGTGAATGTTGTCGAAGAAGTTGCCCATGTAGCTCATAATGGACAGCTTCGCTGATATCCTCTCAACCTGTAAGCAATCAAAACACATAACACTTAAAAATAAAAATCGGTTGAATTGCAAAAACTATTGAATTTTTTCAAGCTACTTTGTGCTTTATTGAGCTTGATAAAAGGCTGAAGATCGCTTGAGAATTTGCCAATGTGGTTACTTGAAAAAGTTCAACAACTTTATCCAGTACCACAGTTATACTGTCAACACTGTATAATATTTACAAAAGTTAGCATATTTAAGTTAGACCAGACAATATGGAAAGAAATTCTAAAGAGAACATTGACTAATTCTTGCAGTATGATTACCCTAGAGCTTGGCGAAGTTGGTCACTGGTTCAGAATTTGTAGTGCTTGCAAAGTTTTCAAGAGCTTTTTAAAACCTGTACATCACCGCAAATTTTATCTTACCTTCATCATCAACATCAGCCTATTAATGTCCCCACTGCTGGGCACAGGCCTTCCCTATGGATGGAATAAGGAGATTGGGCCATGACCCACCACGCGGGCCCAGTGCGGATTGGTGGGTGCTAACGACTGCAGATGCAGCCGGGACCACGTGCCTTCCGAAGCACGGAGGAGATCGAGATAGTAAATTTTTGGTCACCCATCCAATGACCACTGCGAAAGTTGCTTAACTTCAACGATCGCAGCCAAACACGCTTACCAACTGCGCCATCGAGCTCCTCAGACGCGATCTATCTTACCTTAGCGAGTTGCATTAAGAATTTGTCCTCCTCTGTAAGCTGGCTAATATTCTTCTTCTCGGCTACGTATTCCTTGTAGGCCTTCTGTTCAGTCTCAGTGGGCACCATCCGCTGGAGTATCTCCACGCTTTCTAACGGTAACTGTTTGAGGTCCAAGTTGTTGATGGCAGCGATCACTTTCTCTACGGGCGTGTCTAGTTTTCTCCTCGATATCGCTGTGAGTAAAGAAATTGTTTCCTTTATTTAATTCAGATTATAGATAAATAAATATTATGTGTCTTTAATCTGAATCTTTTGGTTTTTGGATGTGTTGTGTTTCTGTCGGTGAGTAGGGTTTCAGGGTAATTAGTTTTAGTATTTTTAAGTGTCCATAGGCTGTGTTGGCCGCTTACCACCAGGCGGGCGATACGCTTGTTTGATACCCTTTTAACATTGTTACCTACCACTAGCGCCATCTAGTGAGTTATCTGAGAACGAACGCGAAGAATCGAGTGAAGGAACCTATACGTCACACACATATCTCGACTAACATACTAAACGGCACGCATTTTTAACATTTAATTTGATATTGTAAACAATTTCTTTAACAAAGGAGTACCGAAGACCACCGTTCCCGAACAAATAAACATAAAAATAAATCTAATTATGGATATGGTGCAAATGGCTAATAAAGAGCAGCTGATAGTTACAACTCTTTAGGTTTTAAAACGGTATCTTACTAACTTCGCAGTTTATCTAAATCGCAACTGTCCTCGAACTTGCTGAAGTTGAGTGTTGATCGTCAATGAATGACCCACCACGCAGACGCAGTGCGGTTGGTGAAGTGCAGTGAAAAATGTGAGCGTATCTGAGTTCGTAACTTTCCTCGAATTCGCTGAAGTTGAGTGTTTGATCGTTAATAAAGGCTAGCGTGTGCGTATACACACCGATATTACGCTAACGCGTGTGTTCAAGCAGGCTGACGGTATCAGGGCGACGGAACCTCTTGCTAGGAAAAAATGTGAGCGTATCTGAGTCGCAACTTTCCTAGAATTCGCTGAAATTGAGTGTTTGATCGTTAATAAAGGCTAGCGTGTGCGTATACATACCGATATTACGCAATCGCGTGTGTTCAAGCAGGCTGACGGTATCAGGGCGACGGAACCTCTTGCTAGGAAAAAATGTGAGCGTATCTGAGTCGCAGCTTTCCTAGAATTCGCTGAAATTGAGTGTTTGATCGTTAATAAAGGCTAGCGTGTGCGTATACATACCGATATTACGCAATCGCGTGTGTTCAAGCAGGCTGACGGTATCAGGGCGACGGAACCTCTTGCTAGGAAAAAATGTGAGCGTATCTGAGTCGCAGCTTTCCTAGAATTCGCTGAAATTGAGTGTTTGATCGTTAATAAAGGCTAGCGTGTGCGTATACATACCGATATTACGCAATCGCGTGTGTTCAAGCAGGCTGACGGTATCAGGGCGACGGAACCTCTTGCTAGGAAAAAATGTGAGCGTATCTGAGTCGCAGCTTTCCTAGAATTCGCTGAAATTGAGTGTTTGATCGTTAATAAAGGCTAGCGTGTGCGTATACATACCGATATTACGCAATCGCGTGTGTTCAAGCAGGCTGACGGTATCAGGGCGACGGAACCTCTTGCTAGGAAAAAATGTGAGCGTATCTGAGTCGCAGCTTTCCTAGAATTCGCTGAAATTGAGTGTTTGATCGTTAATAAAGGCTAGCGTGTGCGTATACATACCGATATTACGCAATCGCGTGTGTTCAAGCAGGCTGACGGTATCAGGGCGACGGAACCTCTTGCTAGGAAAAAATGTGAGCGTATCTGAGTCGCAGCTTTCCTAGAATTCGCTGAAATTGAGTGTTTGATCGTTAATAAAGGCTAGCGTGTGCGTATACATACCGATATTACGCAATCGCGTGTGTTCAAGCAGGCTGACAGTATCAGGGCGACGGAACCTCTTGCTAGGAAAAAATGTGAGCGTATCTGAGTCGCAGCTTTCCTAGAATTCGCTGAAATTGAGTGTTTGATCGTTAATAAAGGCTAGCGTGTGCGTATACATACCGATATTACGCAATCGAGTGTGTTCAAGCAGGCTGACGGTATCGGGGCGACGGAACCTCTTGCTAGGAAAAGATGCGAGCGTATCTGAGTCGCAGCTATCGGCGGTTGCGCAGACGCCACCTATTCGGAATCTTTCTTCGAACTCGCTGAAGTTAATCCGCCGCCTGGGGCGTTCTTCGTCCAGCTCGTTGAATATCGTACCGCGGACCTGGGCGTGAAGGAAATCATTAATAATTGTTAATTTTAGAAAAAAAAGACATGCTCTTTTTTGATAGTCGTATAAAAAGATATTAACAAATCGACAGTTTTATGCTTAATGTTTCAGAACGGATGTTTAATGAATTCTCAACGTGAGACAAAAGAAACGTAAAAATCTTGATGCTGATAGAATCCCATATCCGTAGCATGTGAATGTATCTTTTTAACAAGTGATACATTCACATGTGCTGGCAGCACATCACTTGGCTATTTGTGTTTACTCTTTATAAACTTGAAATCAGTCTGTCCTTTTCATTTCTTATAAAGCATGATAAGGACAAACTGTTGTCAAGTTTACAAATAGAAAATACGAATAGCCAAGTGATGAGTCGGCATTAGAATAGAGATTTCATCGCGTCAAGAAGCCAGTCAGTATTTTGACTTCAATAGAAAAGATTGTGATCGTAGTAAAGAGATTACTTAGTGCTTGATGAATACATAATTATAAAAGCATTGTCGGCACGGGCGCCATTCTACTTGGTGTATAAAGGCTACCTAGTTGGGTTTGAGCACGATCCAGTTGAGCGTGGTCAGTTTGTACTTGGTGTCGACCTTCCGCTTGATGGTCATGAAGTCGTGCTGCATGGGAGGCGGCATTAGTCCCGACACGAGCGGCGCGGAGAGGCGGCATTACTTCTACCTGATGTGGCTCAGTTTAAAGGTAAACCTACCTGATTGGGCTTGAGCGCGATCCAGTTGAGCGTAGGCAGTTTGTACTTGGTATCGACCTTCCGCTTGATGGTCATGGCGTCGTGCTGCATGGGAGGCGGCATTAGTCCGGGCGCAGGCGGTGCAGGGGGAGGGGGAGCCATACCACCTGTTGTAATGTACAAAATATTTACTTCCTTTTTTATATAGATAGGTCCGACAAATGACTCCACCCCATATGATGTTCGGTGACGGTGAAGTCCAGACTTGAAGATAGCTAGTACAGCAGTGTCTACCTGCCACACTAGCCATCCTAACCTTGCCGGCCTGCATGTTGCTTCTTCATTAGCGGATGTCGAATTAAAACAATTTCAGTATCCTTAAACTTTTATCAACAAAACAAATATGATTTGAAGTTTGGTTTGTTTGGCGGAATGCAACGCGTGCCTGTTGCTAAGCAACCGCTCCGTGGAGGGGGCTCGCGTGATCGTTGCATAGCGATATCACAATTATCGTCACAGATGAGCTGCGATTTCTTTATCCAACTTGAAGGACCACTTTTGTTCTTGATAGATATAAAAACTTCTTTAAGAGCCCTTTCACATTTTTTGCAATAAATCGCAATTTTTGATCGCCTCGTTTGCCCCCTTAGAAGAGGTTTTGACTACTTCCAATAGAAGTAAACAGTAGATTTATTCTTCCTATTGAAAATTAATGTAGAATATTTGCAAATACTATTTTCATTTTTTTGTACTGATCGTTCTACCGCAGCTAGTTTACGGAAAAAACGATAATATGCACAACTTAAAACGCCTAAATCTCACAATAATGCTCAATAAATTAGATCAAATTAATTACTACTACATCAGAAATCTGTTTTTGTTGCAACATAATGTATTAGAATCTTGATTTTCCATCTCATTAATTATTAAAAAAACATCTAACCTCCGTGAGTTTCCCCAAAAAATAACGCAGGTTTACCTCGTATTTTGATATTGAATTAAATATAATTACTATAAAAAACTTTCATAAAACTAATCTACAATCATTGAACTATGTATATATTTTCATAATAAGTTCATTAATTATTATTTTATAAGACTCTGAACATCACCCGTAAAATGCAATATATACTAGTGCAAATCTAGGCGCCGTTCAGTACGGCGCCAGCGCCTTTGGAGGTCGGACCTATGTCGCTTTGCGCCGCACGCGTCCCGAGCGATGCTACGAGTGCATTCATCGTAAAACTGGCTGGATGTACTACGACCGCAAAACTTTAATCGTTGACTGTATGTAAGTTTCCACAACCGTATTAATTTTTATTATTATAATAAGTACCTCCCTAGTTATTAATTATCGTTGCTTCAACTAATATTTTTGTTATTAGCTTTTACAATGGGGCGTAAAATTCCTGCTTACCATTGTGTCAAAAAAAGAAAACGAAAGAATAATGCAGCCATAAAGAAGGCTTGTGAAGCAAGGTGAATATGCTTATAACATTTATTTTTAAAGCCTTTAAAATGCCATTAATTGATAAAAAAACATGTTATGAAAGTTATTCATCATTAAATTTCCTACAACTTTTGCATAAATCTTTTTTTTTTACTAAATAAATACTTTTAAAGTTATGAGTCGTTAACGTAGTAATAACGCAGTATTTCAAAGTTTTGTATACGTGCAATTGATTCTCATCACTAATAATATTTATATATTTTTTCCCTATTTTTTTTATTACATTTTTTTACAATTAATTGATAACAATCCAACACAAATCATCATCAGCTTCAATTTGTATAAAAGTAAGTGAATTTTTCGGATACTTCTGTAATTTCATTTCAATGCTCGTTTTTGCGCACATTAGCGACTATTAACTTCAAATGTATTTATTTAATAAAAAAATATACAAAACTTGTAGGGAATTCAATCACGAATAACTTGTATACGACGTTTTTTATCAATTAATGACATTTTTAAGGTTTTATAAAGGAAAAACTACAAACATGTTCAAATAAACAACAACAATTGAAAAACGGTAAGAGTTTAAAAGTTTGAGAGAAAGAAGTTAGAAAATTTAGTATTAAACAAAAAAACACTACAATTTTTCCGTACAGTCAATAATTTAGGAGATTAGCTATAAACGCGTTTTCCAATAAAGCGGTCAGTTGTGACCACCCTACATACATTCCCCGATTTAAACTTAAGCTTCTTACAATCTACCCTTATGTCTGTAAAAAAAAGCTAGAGTACGGTAAAATGTTGCATTTCGATCAAGTATAACAAGTATAAGCTCGTGGGCGGCCAAAGTACATATTGGCCCAACATAATAATATATTTAGAATAGAAATTCACAGTTCTATTTATTTTATATGGAAACAAAATTTTATTTTATTTTATACCGACCATAAGTTCAATGGAGTCGATTGCAACGGAAACTGTAAGTTTTTCATATTGTTATTGGAAGTAGACAATGAAAAAATAAATTAAATTTATAACAATTTTATTATTATTTAAATTTATAATAATACATTAATTTATATAGGAAAAAAATACAGTTGGATTGGAAAACGAAGCCGAGGAACAAAGGGAAGCGTCAAACTCAAATGTAAATATTTTATCTGTTTTATACTGACTTAATGGGTATTTCACTACTACACTAGGTACATAGTTTACAATGTTAGCAGTTTGGTTTTTTGTTTTAAACTCAAACTAATGGGATGCATTTCTAGAGCAAAAAAGTTTATTTTTAATATTTTATATTAAACTTCTTTGCTCCATAAGTTCAATTGACAGTAACTTGCTGATTTACGTATTGGAAATGCATTTCCAGAATTGCCTATATCTGTTTATTAAATGAACTATGAAGGCAAAGACAAAACTACACTTAGTACAGTTTTACTGAGATATTTGATTATTACCAAACATCAATCATCATTAAAAAAGTCAATACTAAAAAACACAAGTAAATAAAATATTATTTCTCATTGCCACTCGAAAAAGGGATTTCATTCAGCGACAACAGTGAACAAACTTTTCATTTAATTGCTGAGTGAATAAAAAAAATTTGAACAAACAGAAGTTATGCAAAGCATACATATAAAGTTACAATAATTAGTAATAATCATAATTAATCTTTATTGTCATTTCCAAAACACAACCAATGGGTACTATAAATATATTATTTATTTTCTCACAATAGTAAAAAAACTTAATCCTTGTATCCTTTGCTCCACTCAGGATTCCTATCTAGAATCGTTCGTTGCTACAGTAGGGATCCATCTTAGCACTTCAAATTAACTTTATTTTATAATGGCATTTATTGTATAATCAATAATTGCATATTAAAGTATCAATTTGGTAGAGCGCGCTATACTGAACATCGCCGCGTCGATGTCTCGCTCGTGCGACTCGGACACGCTCGCGGCCGTATTTACCAAAACAAGAGAGGCGCAATTTTGTAAAAGGGCTCTTAACTACTTGCCACCTGGCTAGTTGATCTCGATCCGCGCGTTTGTTAGAATATCGCTCAGTTTATTGTCTACGTGTTTTCTCACGTGTACACAACTCAGCATTAAGTGGCGGTGGTAACGGCAGCGGTGAAATTTGATAGAAATCTTAATGAATGTGAGTGACAATTCAGAGAGGGCACCACTGGAGTCGATTCCGACAACAGTGTATCCCTGTCATTCTCTATACAGAATGAAAAGAAGAGAGTGATGGTAAATTTAGTTTCAAGCTTTCGTGAATCATGCCAGAATCGACACCACACTGCCTACGTAAATGACATACAAATTGTGATGTTTACAAGCACGGCGGTTGTTCCAATTTTCACCACATTCACAAAGATCCTTGCAGCACTGAAACCGTCGCTGCTATCTTCACAACTGTCACAAAATTTTAATCGCACCATGCTATCTACTACTGTCTGCGTGTCGTTCAAACTATGGTGACTATGATGCTAATATACATATGATGCTGTATTCTTTTTATTTTGATTAAAAAAAATGTTATTTTATTTATGATTGTAATTGTTGATGATAATTAGGACAATTATAAATGTTGTACATGCCTATAAAAAGTGTGCACACCAGGTACTATTTTTTGAATCGAGGTGAATTTTGTATTTCTTTTTGTATGTGTATGCTGTTGGCGTGGCTCTTAAAGAAATAAATAAATATACTAGACGTATACACACCATAGATAGTATAAGAATAGTCCGTCTAGTGGAAAGAGAGAGAAGATGAGAGACCGCTAGCTATCTCTCTCTCTTGTGACGCATGGCATCCAATGGCATCACATCGAAATAGTAAGATGCTTACGGTTGGCAATACGAATGCGCGATTAGAGAGAGAAAGCTAGCTGTCTCTCATCTTCTTTCTCTTTCTATTAGAGGGACACTTCCACTTGTAGAAGAGTCTATACTGCCGTCCTCAAACTAAAGTGCGGCTAAGTGACATGTGGTCGATTTTTCAGTCTTACATTGCATCTTATACAGTTTTTAATTCTCTATCGATCTTTCTTAAATAAGTATTAGTACCTTTTATAGTGAAAGTCTAAAAATCCGTCATGTGATGGTGGTTACAAAATAGCAATAATTTAAAGTTAAAGCGCCGTTTTTTGGCCATATCTTAAAAGTTGGTTGTGTCATTTAACCGCATTTTAGCTTGAGGATGGCGGTATATCTCCCTTACTCTATTCTTATACCTCTACTAGCTGTCCCAGCGAACTTCGTACCGCCATAAAAAATAGGGGTTGGTGGTAGAAGGGCCAAAATTTTGGGTTACATTTATTTTTGTATGATGTATCATAAAAAAAAATAGGGGTGGATTACCCTTAACATTTAGGGGGATGAAAAATAGATGTTGTCCGATTCTCAGACCTACTGAATATGCATATAAAATTTCCCGAAAATCGGTCGAGCCGTTTCGGAGGAGTTCAACCACAAACACCGCGACACGAGAATCTCTTATCTATTAGACAAGTCCGTCCGTCGTGCTGTTTCAACGGCCAAACCGTAAGAGATAGATATAGATAATGTTTAAGTTATAAGTTAAGAATAGTCTGATAAGACTACAAACCGGATTTGAGTAACGTAGCACTTCCGATTTTCGAGAAATCACGAATTTCAAACGAAACCACACAAAATCTCCGAAGTTCTCAATGAATTAAATACATTTTTTTTTTAAATCAGGTTTTGGTGAACATTTGGTTCACTGGTTTGCTAGTCTTATATATTAGATGATACACACTCACCAGTGAGTAGCGGCGGGGGCGGTGGCGGTGGGGGCGCCAGCGCCGGCGCGGGTGGGGGCGGCGCGGGGGGCGCGGGCGGGCCGGCGGGGGGCGGGGGTGGGGGCGGCGCGGGGGGCGACGCGTGACCGTTGCTAAGCAACCGCTCGCCGGAGGGGCTCGCGTGACCGTTGCTCGTGCCGTTGCATAGCGCGTGCGAGGATATCGCACCCACTGACAAAAAGCAAATGTGAATCATGTTTAATACATTCATTTAAGCATTCAACTACCAGATTAAAGAAAATTTTAACTAGAATAAATTGCACGCGGTCCAAGCAGCCCGGGGACTCGACCCGCATCCCGGGTGTCCAGGCCGATTCCATAACCAATTATGCTACTGCGACTGTAATGGCGGTGTCATCTCTTTTCATTGTATATAACCCACGATAGCAAACGTAAAACTTTTACAAATATTAAACATTTGAAAGAAGCAATAGTAATTTGTAGTTGTTACAGGTAGAACGCTTATCTGAGTTCCCCCACACCCTGTACCCCGCAGGCGAGGACTCAGTTAAGCGGTTTACCTATAGATTTATAAATCTTAAAAAAATATTAGTTTTAAATACACGCCGTTCAGACAGCAGATGGGGCTCGAATTTGCACCCTACTCCTCCTTTCTTTAGAAATGTAAATCATATCTTTATTATCAGCCGATCAATGTCCCCACTGCTAAGGTAGAGAACCACAACGGGGGCCAGGGTAAATCAGTGGCTGTTATCGACTGCAGATTCAGCTGGGACTAATCGCTCAACGTGCTTTCCGAAACACGAAGGAGCTCGAGATTATAAATTGCCTGTTGTTCAACGAGCGCTCGTTGAAAGGGCTCGCGTGCCTTTGCATAGTGCGTGACTATGGGCAAACTTCATTATTATAAACCTCATATTGTCTCCACTACTGGGGCACACAACTTCTATATGGATGGCATAGAGAGCCCAACATAATTAATGGGCGCTAACAACTGCACGGAAGTTATGTTAAGCCGTTAGTCCCGGCTGCATCTGCAGTCGTTAGCACCCGCCAATCCGAACTGGGCCTGCGTGGTGGGTCATGGCCCAATCTCCCTATTCCATCCATAGGGAAGGCCTGTGCCCCAGCAGTGGGGACATTAATAGGCTGATGATGATGATGATGAACAACTGCAGATGCAACCGAGAGCAACGGCTCCAGATTCCAAAGCACGGAGCAGATACATTTTAATTTGCCATTGAAATATCATTTATATTCCTATTCTCAAGAGTTACGAGTTTTAATGACACTATCTGTCTTGTGCTCAGCAACACCGGAATACAGAGTTCCCTTATATTGGAATACTATAACATACTTACTCGACGCCCCTCTTGGTAGTGACTTAGTGAGAGATTCTAACTCCTGAACTTTCGATTCGAGCATTGATTGTCTATTTCTTGAGTCCTGCTGCGCTCGCCTTAACGTGGACACCTATATAAAAGAAGTGTAATTAGGTACGATAACGTAATGAATAAGTGTAAGGATTTTTTTTATCCAGCTCAAAGGACCACAATTATTTTTCTACGATGGGGTATTTGAATACTTTTTGAAACGTTTTTACGTAATCATCGTATCTATATCAGCATATTGCGTATTTCAGTAAAAAAAAACAAACATAACATGGCGTGTTTGCCTGTGTGTGACGTCACACAGCTGTCATTTAACGTCCAACGGTATAACCAATTTCACTTTGACTGGAAGTTTAAATGAGTGTGACGTCATTAAAGCCAATACCTACCTACCCCACGTGGCAATAGATAAAAAAATATTTTTCGTGGAGATTAAATAAAATTATGAATATTTTTTCTGTAAAAGTAGTAAACACCGCGGTCAATATTTATCCTAAATACAGGTGTCAACAATCGGCACTTCATTTTTAATACCGTCAAATACCCTATTTTCATATAGATTATACTGACCTCTTCGACGACTTGCCGTCTCGCTTCAGCGAGTTGGTCTCGTTCGGCTCGCGCTTGTGCTAACTCCGCTTCAAGCGTCCCGAGTTTTGCTATAGCTTCCCTTTCTAGCGCTGCTAGCCTTTCATGTGCCTGGTAGAATAATAATATTAGAATAATATTCTAACGGATGATACGGAAGATAAGTTTAATAATCCTTAAATAACATTTTTTACGTTAAATGGTATCAATTACACTAATCATTTGCAAATTGCTTCGGGCGTGGTGTCGATAGAACAGTAATGAGAAATTCAGTGCTGTTACCAACGATATTAAATACCCTAATATTAGTGTATTTAATATCGTTGGCGACTACACATTTGGCGGTCAGAATGCTGCGAACAACATATTTCTCCATGATAAACACCAATGCGTGCATAGTAACCCTAAACCGACATGCCATATTTTATTTTTTTATATTGAGTATACTTTTATCATTAATCTGCTCGGTTTATAAATCTAAAAAGTAGTAAAAAACAAATAATAAAGTTTATTTTGTTAAAAAAATACTTTATTGTGTCTTTTCTAATACAAATAATCTGCTATAGAGGAATATTGAATGCGAGTTAGTCATCAACATCATTACTACTCACATGTCCCAACTCATCCTCCAGTTCGTTGACCTTCTCTAGCGCGGCCGTCTTCGTTTCGCTGTCCTCCATGAGCGCAGCCACGTCGAACACATTGTCTAGATACGCCGAGATTTGAACCTGCGAGAGCATATATGTAACATTATAAATATGATGTATTTGATAACTTTTAAAAACGTTTTTACTTAATCTATCATCATCATCAACCCATGTTCGTCCACTGCTGGACATAGCTCTCCAATAATGCACGCCACTGCTCCCGATTTCGTGCTACTCTCATCCAGCCCACGCCAGCCAGCCTACGAATATCATGGAATAATATTAATATAAGTTTTTTTTTTATCACACCAATTAGCCTATCCCCAAAGTAAGCACTGTAAGGCTTGTGTTATGGGATGCTAGGGTAACAGATAGAATACATAATTATACTGTACTTATATAAGTATATTGATATAGAAATACATATTAAACATCCATGACTGGAGTACAAATGCTCGTATTCATCACACGACGATTCGAACCCGGGACCTCTCGAGTCGGCGACACCATGAAACCCGGCGTACAAACCACTCGGCCAAGGAGGTCGTCAAATCATCACATTGCGTATTTCAGTAAAAAATCAAAAATTCTGCTTTCAGATATGCTGCTAAAATGTTTCTCTGGGTAACATGGCATGTTTACCTGTGCGTGACATCACACGGCTGTCATTTAGACGTCCAACGGTACAACCAATGTCACTTTGACCGGAAGTTTACATGAGTGTGACGTCATTTAAGGCTCCAATCCCAACCTCACGTGACAATAGAGAGCAAGAACAACCTCATGACAGCAAATATATAACATCATATTTATATATCGTCAACATGCCATATTCTAACATTCTATCAACGGGTCATATGGTTATGAACTTTAATTACCAATAATTTAATATAAAACAGTTCCTGAAATATCCGGGTAACCAAACAAATGATATATGTGATTCTTGAGGTTTATCTCTTCTTAGGGGCAGTTTATAGAAATAGTAGTGAACCCCTACTGCTTACCAAGACAGATAATTAAAGTCAGTAGACAATCATTAAAACTTAGGGTAGTTTCCAAAACTACTGTATGTAAGATTTCTTATCATTATTATGTTTGGATGGGATAACTTGCTAAAAATGGCATTATTATTGAAGATGAAAAAGGAATAAAATTTTTATTGTCTCGTATTGTTTCACATTTGACTGTCATTACCGCAACTTTTCGCGCTGCGGCTCGAAGGACCATTTTTGTAAGAGTGTTAAGGATAATTTATGCCGCCTCTTGGCGCCACTGGAGGAAGAGCTCGATGGCGCAGGTGGCTAGCGCATTGGAGTTAAGCAACTTTCGCAATGGTCGGTCATTGAATGGGTAACCAAAAATCTTCTACTTGGAGTTCCTCCGTGCTTCAGAAGGCACATTAAGCCGTTGGTCTCCCGGCTGCATCTGCAGACGTTAGCACCCGCCAATCCGCACTGGGCCCGCGTGGTGGGTCATGGCCCAATCTCACTATACCACCCATAGGGAAGGCCTGTGCCCCAGCAGTGGGGACATTAATAGGCTGATGGTGATGGCGCCACTGTGACTTGAGGTCTTTTATATAATCGAACGAGCATTTCAATTCATGCATAGACTATGACGACATAAGTGTCCAGTGCTCCCATCTGGCGCCCATCATTCCAGAAAATCCTCATTAGTTTATAATTACTAACCTGTAGGTCTTCGCTCTCACAGTGCCGCAACCGTTCAAGATAGTCGTCCAGTTTGAGCGCCGTGAATTCGTATTGAAGGTGCACCCGGAAGTTCATGTCCTCAACAGAATGTACTATGATGTTCACGAACTGCATGCATGCCACCTAAAGATAACAAATTTAAAATAATTATAATGTACTAGAAGTGTCCTGCAATGTGTCAGACGAATTAATTTCAGGAAAAAAGTTATGTAGTGGGCCACCAGAGATAGACATATGTTGTCGCGGACTCTTTTATAGAACTTTTAAAGAAGAACTATTTCGTCACATATAATGCAATTCAACTAAGAAGAGGATCGACTGGGCGCCATATTTTGACGTCATAGCTATCAATTCAAACCAAATAGGTAGAGTGAGCAAAAAATGTTGCTATTTAATGAAACTTATTTACTAAGATTAAGTGAGACAAAAATCAGTATTTTTAATAAAATTAATTTACTAAGGTTGAGAAAGAACACAATCGATTTTTAATAGTATTTCTTTATTAAGACTGTGTAAAAAAAAAACATTAATAAGAATCTAGCTCTTCAATTTTGCTCAACTCTGCATTACCGCCGGAGAAGTTATGAATAATCATGCTGGTCACATACAAACATGCATCTTATATGTAAACGAAAGTTTTAAATCGAGTTTTTGAACGCAACATAAGTTGACAATTTAGGTTATCAACCATTCATAGCCAAAGCTAAATAAATGAAAAAAAAGCAACTAATATTAATTATCAACATTTGTTATTGTTTCTTTAAAAATGTTTGGTTTTTATTCTAGAATCAGCTGAGTACTAAGAAAGTATTTCGAGTTTTTTTTTGCAAATCGTATTTTTCAGGCGACTTTTGACAGATGAAGGTAATTGGCTTTCCTATTCTTATTTAAATCGCATTATACGTGGTTTGTGTGTAATGTAAACAGTTTACGCAGAGCACGCAACATTAGCTCTCAAATGCAATAATTTCTTTCCTGTTTTGCAACATTTTTCATCGATGCTCCGCTCCTACTGTTCGTAGCCTAATGTTAATATCACGATAATAGCCTTCCTCGATAAATGCACTATCCAACACATTTTTTTTCAAATCAGACCAGTAGTTCGTGAGATTAGCGCGTTTAAACAAACAAACTTTTCAGCTTCATTATAATAATATTAGTTTAGGAGTATTAATAATAATTAAAAAAAACAGTGCAATTTTGGCGTCTTTATTTTGGTACACAAGCCACGTTATTCTAACACTTAAAAATGGGAGAGCTCTTATTTTTAAGTTAGTATTTCATCGTCAAAATAATAGTTAAAGAAAAACTATGCGCACCTGACGCTAATTAAAGTTAATTTAAGTTGTAGGTTATTGTTTATAGAGTAAATAACCTGTGTAACTATTGTTTAAGGCAAACCTAAAGCCAACCAATGCCACATGTGGCCTGATCATGATTTTGTGTTTATGACAATACTATTTGTATTATATACGCATCTATATCTTTTTCTGAATCATCATTCGTTTTATGTTAATGCTCACAAGGAACATTATTTGATTATATACACGCCTAGATACCGTATTAACTGCACTAAAGCGGCACAAAAAATATCTACTACATATGGTAGATAAGCTCGTCGCTATACACGCACACCTTGACTACTTTCAAACAATCTGACATTAGATCCACGCACACATTGCGCATAACATGAGCCGTTTAATTTGCGTTGTTTATCTGGATTGCTTTAACTAGGCATGTATATTAATCAAAGGAGACATCACTGCGTAAGAAACCTCTCGATGACCAACATCTTTGGTTTCAGTTTCTGAAGATAGAAATCTTTTACAGTGCGACAAGGATCTTTATGAATGCGAGTGACCCTTCAGGGAGGGCGCTACTGTAAATGACACAAAATATGACGTTTACAAAGACGGCGGCATTAGTTCCAGTTTAGGCCACATCCATAAAGATCCTTGTCGCAATATAAAAGAAATCAACTCACCATAAACTCTATGTGGAACTGGTCGTAGTTCATGAAGTACTCCATCAGGGTATGGAATCTTCTGGGCTCGCCGACTACCTCCTTGAAGTTGTCGAAGGCCGACAGGATGATCTGGTGGCCGCCTTTGACTAAACAGATGGCAGCTAACAGTTCCAGTACTAAAGCTTTCGTGCGGAGCGAGTGGTGGACTAGAGAGAGCGCGATGCTGTTGATGGCTTCGCGGTGCTGGATCACCATGTTGAAGCCGTACTGAAAACGAATTGGTAATGTTAGTCAAGTGATTATAGGTTCGATATGAGAGTAAAATGTTGAAAAGGGTATTTGACAACTTCTAGAAACCGATCTCACCTTTTCAATTCTTACAAAAGTAGATATTTTTAATTCTGTTGTATAATTCAGTAAAGAAATCTAAATTGAAAATTCAATTTTCAAGTTGCCGCGAAATCTTTTCTCTGGACAATATGGCATCTCACTAGAATTTTCAATGTAATGTCACTTTGGCAGGAAGCTTAGTAGCGTGTGACGTCATTTTAGTCTTGGCCAATCCCAGACGTTTTCGGTCACGTGATAGAATCTCCCCACAGGGGGAGCCTCCTCTTCGTCTGGAGGCCTTAGATTACTCGAACCTGGGGCGTTTGGCTCAACTAGAGGGCGTCTCTGAGATTCGGACCTCGTCTCTTGTTATAGGTAAACCGCTTAACTGAGACCTCGCCTGCGGGGTAGAGGGCCACAACGGGGACCGTGGGAGTTGGGGGCGGCAGGCACATTCTTGTCAAAATTACAAGTCCCCGTTTTCGTCCTTCCCACACCCGTTACCCCACAGGCGAGGGCTCAGTTAAGCGGTCAACTTATAGCCGTTGTCGTGGGGGGTGAGATACACAGCTTCAGATAGATAGATACCTTATTGTTCATGATGGCACGCATGCACATGATGCACACGTGTATGTCGTCAGTAGAGGCGCCCATGTTGAGGCGCGCCGCGTGGCGAGTACGTCGACGCGCGACCGCGGGGCTGCCGGCGCCCTCTAGTTCCGCGTCGGTGCTGCGCGCGCGGCGACGCCACGACGCGTTCAAAGTGGAGCCCGCGTCGACGGCGCTCGCGCAATCGGATGATGTCGTGTTGGCTGCTGAGCAAAACAGTTTCATTTACAAAAAATAATTCCTACAAATCAACAGATTATAAATTAATACGGAAGCTTTCCGCTAAAACACGGTTCCGAACTCATGCAAGTTAACTTCAATACTAACGTGACCCGCACACTGACAAATCAAAATACTTTATTAACAAATCAAATATCTGCAAATGAATTCGGTTATCTATTCATTAGGTAACCTAATGTGAAACGGAAATCCCAATCATGCCCATGAATGGCGTGATGATAGCATTTTTTTCGCCCCGCCCACTTGATCGCAGTTGGCATGGAACCACTTATTAGCGCAGTTCGTATTTCGTATTATTTCAAATTCGTTGATATAAATCCTATTTTCTAATCTAGATAAATAAGTAAAACACAAACGGAGCTAAAAGTGAAACTTTTTAAAGATCTGTACCCCTAGCACGAACCAATATCGAATTCGAATAGTTGAACAGCAGCGCCACAAAGTCCGTAACGAGAACTAAAAATCAGTACACATTTGACAATAAAATTTCGAACTCGCAAACGTTACGAATTCGATATTGGTTCGTGCTAAGGGTACTGTTGTCACAAACAGTCCATAATTTTTTTACACTCTTATGTAATGAAATGACAAATCCAACCAAAGACAAAAATCACGAAATAATAATAAATACTGATACCATCGGTTTTAAATCTTTTCAAACATGTTCGAACTCGACCGAAAATTGCTATTTAGGTCCTGATCAACTTTCAATTCATTACTATAAACTTTTTGTATAATTATGACAACAACCAACATTGACAACTTAAACCATAATTAAATTCATCCTATGTATCGTAAAAAAATACTTTGGTTGATTCCATCGCTGGACTGACTCCTGGCGAGGGCTATCCGTTGCTCATGCCGCATCATGCTCAGCCTAAAGCTCAGGTAGTCGATGAGCACGTCCAGGCCCTGGTTCTGTTCGTTCAGGAATTCTCGAACCCATCTGTCAAGTTACAACCGATTATGGCATATATGTTTATAGCGGTATGTTTTTGTAACCAACTGATGTCAGAGAAGGCCATAAAAATCGATTTATAACACGTTGTCGAAAATTTTAAAAGCGTCTACCATTGTATCTTTTGAAAATCATAATTCCATTTTATTTATTCTTTCACCAAAGACTATTTGTCTCGATCTATCACCCACATTGTACTGGTGAACTTTTAAATTTAATTATCTTAGCTATTTCAGGTAATTTGTAAGGTTTATTTACTGAAGTGAACAATTCTCTGGTACGACACACCAATAACTTACTCTATGTGATTGGTCCGCAAAGATATCTCCAAATCCCTAAGAACTTGGGTCGATGTTGAATCGCCGACCATTTTCCTTTTCTGTAAAACACAAACAAAATAAATTAAAAATATGAAAATTTTATAGAAAACGAGTCAAGAATATAAACATGAGAATTTACGATGACACCGTTTCTCTATTAGCATTAATGCAGGGGATACACACGACGTCGGATGGCCCTTTATCTTCATAATTTCTGCCACGGGAAGATGTTATTATTGAACATTATGCTGGAGGTAAAGGTGATCACGACTCTACAGAGATGTTTTCCCTGAGATGACCCTTATGGTCCTAGCATCAGATTAGTTCCAATCCTTATAAGCTTGCGCCGAGCAAATACTCCTTTAGACGTGCTCATACCAGAATGCGAACAAAGTAAGCGCCTCAAATGATTCCAATATGTAATCACGAGTGGCACGAAGATATTTCCTATGAGCACAATATCTGATTTGTAATCATGTTATAAGTGTGTCATGCAAACAAACTCTCTGGGTCTCTCACGTCTGGACGCCCACGTTGTTAGTGTTTGGACCAAGTTTTAGCGAAACTATTTGCATTGAAATCTGCCTAGATATTTCATCGATTAATTTATGTATTTATTGAATCCTAATTTTAGTTATTTTCTAAATAATTTTATTATGTTGGAATAGGCAATGAGTGAAATGTGGATTACAAAATAATACCATAAGTAATTTTTATACATACAAGACCATTTTGATCACTAAGGAAAACGTTTCCGAATTGGATTGATGTTTTATTAAATTAATAGGTAGTGTATGTACAGTAAGTAAATCATTATGAATTCAGATCCGATCATAATGAAGTACTCACAATCATGGAAAATTGTATTACATTAATCAATCATACTTTAGTAAAATCCCGAATGAGAAGTCTAACGATATTTTCCCCTTACAATTAGTTACCCCTTACTTAGGAATACGAGGGAAATAACTGTGAATAACAATTCATTTATCGGTTCACTGTTTGACGTGAATAGGCACGTCACTCGTGTGTTGTACCAAGGCCCGGATGAGACACGACACCGCTGGATGTGAGTCAGGCTGTTCTGTCCCACAATACATATGACCTAGCGCCGGAGACCTGCGAACTATGCTCTGAATAATTGTCTCAATAAGGGAATGCTCTTTCAACCGAGCACGTACCGTTTCTGTACTTTATATCCACTCATCAAGTATATTGTGACAGAAATCAGATACTGTAAGCTAGGAATTGTGTAAGCCACCGGGTGTTCGTAAACTGTAATCGGAGATTCTTATAATACAAGCGAAATGTTTGTTTTCATCAGAGGCGTGTCAATAAAGCCCAGATACACAAAATTCTTATAGGACTTACGACAGCGTCGGGTTGGGGCGATTTAATGTTTAGAATTAATGCAAAATTTAGTAAGGATTTAAAGTTTACACATCTAGAAGACGAACAGTTTGAGTTAGCACCAAGCATTCAACTATTTCATCCACAAAGTTTTGTAATGTATCTACATCTAATTGATACCGAAATCATTAGTGAATAGTGAAGCGAGTATCTCGATGAACTCTAGGGTCAGTAACGGGCCTGTTTGGTGGTTTTAATAATTTTAAACGAGCCGGGTCATCGTTGGCAATAGGTCAAGTTAGTTAGATGATGGGGACCTTTATATCTTCCAAATGTATCTATCTATGACACGACTATGTAGTAGAACACTATACACATTCGTTTTTCTTATGGAAGATGTTAGAAAATATTTTGGAAAATGTGAAAGGATAGGTATGCTTGTTTATTTATTTATGAGTGCTCACAGCAGTTCTGGTCTTTCGATGGTAAAAAGTTAAAATCTTCCAATGTAAGCCAAGCAGAATGGTTTTATAATTATAAAGATAGCATTTCATTAAAATGCACTCTTGTAGTCTTTTGATCCTTTACACATGTTTGCAAAGTAATAGATATAAAAGGCAGTACTGCACCAACATGGAACGTTGTACGCATTATGAGGTCACAAGCCCAGCTCACGTATCGACTTACGATAGAATATGTAGATACAATGATGTAACCCGCGCGTCTCCGCGAGTTCACTAACACCTGCAGAATGAATCATCTCATTAAACACGACACCGATATCTTCGATGAGTCTAGGGAACGTGCACATTACGAACTGATTTTTATCATTTGTGGCTTTGATAAAAAATGTGATGATCTCAATCACCATACGGGTACGGGTTTCAGAGCAGGTGCATTAATCGTCAGAAGTTAGAGAAATATGTATTAGTATTATCATTGATCACTCCCATAAACCTAGCGTTGAATGGTACAACGTTGTTTCTAACACCTAACCGAACATAGTTGACCTTGATTCTTTTTAGGATAAAAAATCCTTAATTTTTGTAATTTACTTAAATACATTCCAAAGAACTATAAATATATTAGTTAAATAGCTAGTACCAAAAGGTCAAAATGTTTTAAACCTGAAGCTTTGAACTATACGGAAACGTTATTACATCTATTCTTAGTTTAATTGCTAACTCTGAAGAAACTTTTTTCATATGAGTTAAACATGCAAGCAAAAACACAATCAATCTAAAACTTGAAACATGTGATGGAGCAGATCGCTCAATGGAGATAACCGGTCCGCAAAGGTCGACGCAAAGCCTCATTCTGTCATTCGTTTTTGCGCGATATTGTACCGATGCGGGTTTTTGTTGTGCAAACAACTTCCAACACGCGAAGGATGTTTTGCTATAATTTGGTTATATATCCGAGGTGTGTATAAACATCCTTTGCTTTCTTGTGGAAGTAGTCAAATTTTCAAGACTCACGTTATCGTTTTGGGAAATCTATAATTAACGCATGACTAGCAAAATATTACAGAAACATTTCTAGACACTGAGCCTTGAATTCAAAATTAAGTCAAATGATGCAGAAATAGGGATGTTCATGTAAAAAAAATATCGATATGATTTTCGATATAATATATCGGAGTGTTGTATCGATACTTTACGATATATTGCTAAAATATATCGATATTTTAAAAAATCATAAGTAATTACTTGTATTTAACTAGTCAGATTATATTCATACAAGCTGGAAAATATTGTCAAGTAGTAAGGAATTTATTAATTTGACACCGCCAGAATTGGAAAAAGGCTACGCTATGCCTCTTGCCCGAAAAATCCACGGATAGATACTTACAGTCAAGCGTATCAAAATTTCATCTTATGGAAACCAAACAAAGGTGCACATTCATTTTCAGAATGTACGTACGTAAGTAGTATTATTTCCTCGCAAATGTGTTATAAAACGTCGTATGACATACGTGCGGTTTGATAATTACAGCCTCTGCCAGCTCTCACCTACGGTTAGGGCTAACAATATCGCCTCGGCTGTAATTCTCAACTTACCGCACTTATATCATAATGTACTATTACTAAACAAAACAAGATAATTATTGTCACAGCTTTCTTCTTCTATACAATTGCATAAAAGTCGTTTTGATATTATCGTTATACACTTAACGGTATTCACATTTCGTAAACTGTAATAAACAAAACAAACAACTTTTATTTATACGTTATTTTGTACTGAAAACGAAGCCACAGTGTTACTAGAAAGCCATTACGCCTACCCCTAATATTACCCGAAATCCCCCCAATTACAAGTTTTTGAAGAAAAAACCTCCTAACAAGCAAAATATTTATTAGAAGTACAATATTTACTACATAGTATGTATATTTGCAACAGCATCCATTACTGGATCAACATCTTCGCACGCGTCGTTATTTCCCACTCCTTTGTTAATCTTCTTACATAACTTTGTTATTTTACCAAGGTCCTTACAATTAAAAGGACAAATAACCAAAATGCGACTTAGCAAAGCATAGATGATAGATAGTGTCGATTCGATTTGCAGTTTAAGCTAATTACCTTTATCGACTGACTGACTTGCTTAACTTGACTGTGCGAGCGACTGAGCGAGACGGAATGGACCAAAGAATACTTTTTAAATGGGCTATGGACTTAGGGGTCCGAATCGGTTTCCCCCAAACCAAAAAACCCTTAAATCCAAATTTCATCCCCCCATTAATCCCCCTAAAATATTTTCTCCCCAATTATCCTATTTCAAAAAATATCGATATATATCGTGCACTCCTATGCAGAGATGTGCACAAACGCTTATATTATTTCTTTGCACCGACACACAAATACTATTTCAGGCTTGAAACCCTTCTAAAATATTTTCCAGCACAGTATACCATAATGGTTCAAATAGTTGCATTACCATCATTTCCTCGGGCTACCACCGCTATTACCGATTGTCTGCTTAAATCGCGCCGCATCGATATGCCCTGATGTATAGCACATTGTCTCACTAACGGTATTTCCTTTGCGCACAGCTCTATAGGTTATGGGATTAGGGCTTGCAAGTCAATAGCCATCGTTGAATATATGAAGGCAAGCCGTCTCGCAGTAATGCTTATGTCTGACATAATTATGTTAACGACATGAGTAAGTCTTGATTCTACATAGATTCGATTCTCATAGTATTCAGTAGTCTACGGGTGACGCGAAATGCAAGATGTAGATAAGAAATTTTAATTTAAGTGATTTATGTGTGTCTAGTTCTCTGCTTAAGAATTGCTTGAAGGGTTGATAGTTTTACATTACCTACACCCTAGTTGTACCAATATTTCATAATTATGTAGTTTTATTTAAATTTTCACAAAATAAACATGAGCATGGGCAATTTAAAGAATAGATTGCATTTTAACTTACCCTGTGACTCCTGGAAGCTTTAGGGTCAAGGTATGTGCGCAATTTGTTGAGGTAGTGAGTGGGGGAGTCCTTAGCCTGCACCATGTCCTGGTCGCAGATGATCTCCCACTTTTTTTCCAGGTCATAGTTGCGCAGAAGTTTCATTTTGTCCGGGGGGAGATCCATAGATGTCTGGAAAGGAATATAAACATTTATTTATTTATACTTTATTGCACAAATGAGTGTACAAGTGGCGGACTTAACGCCATTTGGCATTCTCTACCAGTCAACCGGAACTACGACACGATATCTATGTTTCAGTATATAAACATTTAATGCTCGTTTACGGGTAAACTAACTAAAGGTAAACTATTTCGTCAAACCCGCGTTATAACTCTACTGGAGGTATCCCTCGGTTTTACCCACATTGATTGGAGGAAAAAGGTTATAGTGGACCACCCTTAAAAGACAGACATATGCTGTCGTAGACTTTTTTTGGGGCTTTTTAAGGGGAACCATTCCTTTTTATATGCTTTTCGTATACCTTTTACCGTTTACGCAGCAAACGCAACGGAAGATCATGAATGGAATATTTATTCTCGTTTTTGCAACATTTTTAATTGATGGTCCGCTCTTATTAGTTGTAGCGTTATGATACGAGTATATAGCCTTCCTCGATACATGCACTATCTAACACAAAAATATTTTTTCCAATCGGACCAGTAGTTCTTGAGATTAGCACTTTCAACTAAACAAACAAACACTTCAGCTTTATAATATTAGTATAAGTATAGATACGCTACATCAAGATCTATTGCGGTTTCTTAACCGATGACTTTTTAACCATTTTTATATGATAAGGGTGGCTGATTAGCATATGACCCACCACAAAGGTAAGCGAGCACCACAGCCCTTGTACATCTTACGAGTTCAGCTGTCCCTCATAATTTACAGTTTTGACTCATCTGACAGAAAAAGAACTTGATTTTTATGTACTGTCTCTGTTTTTGGGCAGAGAGGAGGGTGAATCATACAGCATATCACCATTTCCATAATGACGTGTTATATTTGAGCAGCCTTAGAACAGCCGTATCTAAACAAGAATCGCTAGCAATAGACCAGTTTACAACATATTGGTTTATAGCGAGTTTGTAACGGTACCCAATGTGCATTAGGGCTGCCACTTAATACTGTGTACAAGGTGCTTAGTCTTCTGATCATGGGCGCATTTATTTAACGCAACCACTGCTCTGCACAACCGGTCTGATTCGAGCGGCTTCGAGGTCATATTCGATTCAATATTATTGTAATTTAAAACCAAGTGTCGAATGGGATCTTGTACTTTAGAATAGTTTATTGGTCGTTTTAGTGGAGATCGCGGTTGGTCTGCGAGTACGGGAGTTAAGCACTTTTCGTAAATATCAGGCTCTGTTGACCAATCATCTCAAACTTCTCTCTGTACTTCGTCATTTTACGACCTTTTTATAGAGGTCGTCGTTAAGTTCCACGCAATGAGGATATTTCGAGCTATGAATCAGGGCCAAAAGTCATCTACAGTTAAAGAAATCTTAATAAAAAAAAGTCCAAAACTTTATCATATTTAACCTCCATGCACAGGAAGTCACGTTTTTACATACTGAAACAGAGATCGTGTTGTATTTGGATTATGACCAATTCTTTAAATAATAAATAGGCTGGATATAGCAAACGATTGATCGAGTATTCTGAACAAATCCGAATTTAAAGCCGCGTTGTGCTTGTGAAGTTAAGGGAATAGTGCGGGTAAATTACACAAGTCCATAAACACACTTTAACAATTGTTTTGTTAATCATTTGTTAATTTGTATCGATAAAGCTGCCATGTCATGAAAAGCTTCAAAATAAAAGCAGATAATTCGTAATCTATCAGGAATGGTTACCTAAAGAGTACAGGATAGGTCTATCAAAATTGACTTTAATAGGCTGACGGTCGATAATGTAATTAGATCACTGTATCGATTCGTAAAGTTATTGCTCATTTTCTGATAGCATCACACACCGTCCCGAATGGTTTACGCAACTAAATCATCGTCTATTTTACATTGGCGCAACGCCTTATCAAAATCGTGAAAGAGGAAGCACCTCCACTGAATGGGGCAATGTGTTTGCACGTCAAGGCTGCGTCCATTAGCTGCGCGTGGTTCCCCTTAATTGTGGAGACATAAGGTTTGTATTCGGGTGTGATGGAAATGAGCGCTGTGTGTATTGTAATGGACTGGTGCCGCTCGCATTAGCATAGATCAGCATACTCGATTATGATGCTGGGGCGTGATCCCACGCGTTTTGCTCGTCTGACGGCACGATTCATAGGAGTCAGTCAAACTAGTAAGAATAGCGTTTTACCACCGACAATAGTCTAATGCATTGCAATTTAAAATTGAACCTCCATCTTACAGAAGATCACAGTAAAATAACACTACCTTTTGGTAGTGTTGTGTTTCTGTCGGTACAGTTCCAGGGCTGTACGGAGTAGAGGATTGTCTCGGGGTAGACAACGCTGCGAGTGTATTTATGGTCTATATAGGCTATGGCAGCCGCTTGCCATAAGGCAGCCCATATTCTTATTTGCCACTCTTTTAACGTAAAAAAATGTCTAAATATCCTCGATATATCATTTATGGCAGAGTAATTCTGTTAGAGTTAGTGAGCCCGCTAGCATCTTCTACTTTATATGAGGACAGCAAACAAGTCACGTAATCCCGTGGTGCTGTTTGCTTGCTGTTTGAATGCTTGTAGAAAAAAAATCTTCATTCGACAGGGAATTGGGTAAGCCTTAGGTAAAAACTCTACTGGCGTCGCCGTCGCCAGGATCTAATCTATAGACTATGGCGGTCGCCACAGAACACAGAAAGAGGTTAGAAGAGTGAAAATATACCGTTTTTACGGGAACCGATGTCGCCGGCTCACCCCCACTACACTTCCACCTAATAGATAATGGCCAATCAAACGATGCGACATCAAACAATAGAACCAATCAACGCTCACACCCGCGAGCAACCATCCATCAGCCTTTCTCAGTCCACTGCTGGACATAGGCCTCCCCCATAGAACGCCACAATGCGCGGTCCTGCGCTATTCGCATCCAGCGGCTCCCAGCACATTTGACGATGTCGTCAGTCCACCTTGTTGGGGGCCGCCCCACGCTGCGTCGCGAGCCGCGAGCAACGACGCTAGCAGAACAAAGATTTGGTCAAATTATGAGCATTTGCTCATACATATCTGTGACGCGCCTGCCCCGCCCACAAGGGCCTTCTAACGTCGTTCTGTGTTAATGGTACAGTATTATCGTTATCTAATTTAACGTACAGTTAAGTAAATAACACAATTCATTGTTGAAATTTACATAATTTGAATAAATCAGAATCGTTTCACATCCGCCACCACATTTATTTGCGGACAAAATGTCGATAACCGTAAATGAATCAAATCTTATTAAAGTGTTGAAGAGATGTCTCTGCATAGCATGTTCGTTGTCTCTCGTGCTTTGTACCACTAACAGAATGTTTAGTGAAAAAACTGCTCATCATTAGGTGAACGACCCAGCCTAACTGCAAATATTGAATGTCGGATCATCATAATAATTAGGAATGCGCTATTCGAGTGTTGTTTCGACCTAGTTCGTGAACATTAAATGCAATATTGTCATATCTTACTTACAGTAGTTAACTGTAATGATTTTTTATAATAATTAAACTTAAATTTCTAATTTACTCCTTTTTTGATATGTAAAGACAAAAATTAGTTGTTCAAGTGTTCCGTACTCACAACTATACAATTTAAATTCGGCGGTTTTAATATAATAGGACGAATAAGCAGTGAATCTCACGATTTTATTGACATGTTTTCTTTTAATTTATGTGAAAGCGGCAAAAAGTACGCATTTTTATGAAAATTTCAATATTGTTCATGAGATTTAGACCGCTGATAGCACACTTGCAGACGCATGGACGGTCAGCGAAAAATAATTGTGCCATAACATTTTTAATTTTGACATTTCAAGATATTTTCCCCTAAAATATCATCCAAATGAACAATATTAAATTCCGGACAGCTCGGAGCAATTATTCCCAAACTAAGGAAAGCTTGTGCTATGAATATTAAATAACGGATATAATACATAATCAAGCAGAACGCAAACAAACACGACTCGGAAGCAAAATTGCATATTCTTTTCACAGAAACTTGCTTTGCATGCTTTTAGGAAGATTTTATAGAATGACAGCCACAGCCTATAATTTTAATTGGAACGTTTTTTTTTACATTAAATAGGCTTACGCTTGACGGCCATGCGATTGAAGAAGAGCGACGTAACATCCTAAGGTGGGACGCGCTTGCCTAGAAGAAACCGATTCACTCGCGACTTGAAGAGCCCCAGATTATAAAAATAAATAATTATTAATAAATTATTATAGGTGACTGGAAACAGAGATTCCGGCAAAGAGTTCCACAACCTAGCTGTTCTGACGATATAGGTTTAAGCAAACCGTTTAGTACGGGTTTGCGGAACCTCTACGGTATATCTGTGGCGTTTTTCCGTCTCTCTCTCGTCTATAATTTTACGATGACATAAATAACAATAACTAAACGTTTACGTTAATCCTGTAGGAAACCGAAACAGTGGCAAGAGTATTTTCACTTGAAAAATCACTTAATTTGCTTTTTTTCGCTAATTTCACCTTAACCAAACTTAAAAAAATCGTTGGGTGCCCTCGTGAATACCACTTGATTATGATTACTTTCCTTTACTTTTAAATAAATAAAAAAAACCAAAGCTGTTGCTTAAAAATATGTTTTGTGACGGCCCCGCTCACAGAACACAGAAAGAGGTTTGAATAAAAGTCATAGATAGTTTGCCGCCACTACGCTTCGCTTTAATAAATAATATAGCCAATCAAACGACGCGACATCAAACAATCAGCCCTTATGCCCGAGAATACGATGCAATCAGAACAAAGTTTTGGTCCAGTTATGAGAATTTGCTCACACATACCTGAGACGCGCCTGCCCCGCCCACAAACTTAGATTAAAACAAAAAGGGTAGATACGGTACGCTCATAGTAGCATCAAATAATATATGATTCGACTCAACTACATAAGCAACTCTCGCCACGCACACGTCTGTATATAAACATCAATCGAGCGAGCGAGACAGAA